GAAAAACACGTGTTTCTCTGTGAAAGGCCGGAGGTGTTCCGGATGAGATTAGTGTGTTATTTTCGGTTTTTTTGGACATAAAGCTATTAAAGCAAGCTTAACTTTTTTAGTATTATACATATCTGATATATTTTTTCCATGAAAACAATTCATCAAGTTGTATTTTTGACAGCCGAATAGAAAATGAAATTCAATATTTAATTATAAGTAATATGTATTTATAACTCTGATAAATCCCAGAAGGGGAGTCCGGACCCCCCTTCCTAGATCTGCGCATGTACCCTCGTTTAGCTGGGTCTGTAGATTTTCTTAAAACCGATAGCGGAGCCAAATTTGGCCAAAGTATATATATATATATATATATATATATATATATATATATATATAAAGCACTAAAAATGACCAACGACACGAACAATAATAATTGTCAAATTTTCGGGACAACCTGTCCCTTCCTCAGGACAAAGAAAAAAGTTAAGAAGTCATAAAAACAAAGGAAATAGAGAAGCAAAAACAACTAGCACTACTACTAAACTACCAAACACTAAATATTTACAAGGTTACATGTTTAATTTGGAGTTTATAAACAGTTGTGAACAAAGAAATCCGGAGCGCTATGAATTGCGTCCGGTCTATACATATAGACCGGACGCAATTCATAGCGCTCCGGATTTCTTTGTTCACAACTGTTTATAAACTCCAAATTAAACATGTAACCTTGTAAATATTTAGTGTTTGGTAGTTTAGTAGTAGTGCTAGTTGTTTTTGCTTCTCTATTTCCTTTGTTTTTATGACTTCTTAACTTTTTTCTTTGTCCTGAGGAAGGGACAGGTTGTCCCGAAAATTTGACAATTATTATTGTTCGTGTCGTTGGTCATTTTTAGTGCTTTATATAAATTTCCATCCGTGACCTTGTATCTACTTAGTAGATCCGACACTTCGGATATACAGTGTTGTTGGTTTTTAGTGCTTTTTATATATATATATATATATATATATATATATATATATATATATATATATATATATATATATATATATATATATATATATATATATATATATATATATATATATATATATATATATTTACAAATATTCAGTATTTCGGGCTCCACAGATTTGTTTATAAGTTCAGATTAACTAAAATTAAAAAGATCTTTCTATTTGTTTTATTACTTTGTATAAAGATAGTACTTCCCTGTAAATTACACAATTTAAATCAATCACGTTTCAAGGATATTAAAATTTTAAAACAATTACCGACCATTATTTACCGATTCCGCATTTAATTAACAAACACAGTTTAAAATCAATTTAACTATGGAAACGTGAGGTTATTCAAGTTCAAAATCGGTGAAAATTTTAATTTGAACGTAAATAACATATATCATGTTTATCTACACTCAATCTCGAATTTTTATTATTTAGCTCAGATACGCCATATATAGCTTTAAGTCCAAGGTCGTAACTACCATTGAGGCAAGTGAGGCAAATGCCTCACTAAAATTTTAGAGTTTTATGAAATGTGAAAAAGTTTTACCGTGAACGTTAATGAATTGTGTGTGTCTTTGTACTAAATTCATACTTTCAACCTTTGTTTCAATTTCTGTAAATCGATCATCTCACCAGGTGCCTAACTATCGTTTCAGGCCCGTAGAACGCGGGGAGGGGACCCCAGCCCCGGCCCACTCCCCCCCCCTTTTTTCTGAGTATAGTATTTTGCTATAGAAAATTTTCCCTTAGATGCTGGTTGCCCCCCCCCCCTTTTTGAAGTTGTAAGGTCGAGCACTGACAAATTCCAGGTTTTGGACAGTAAATGCCCCCCTTTTTTGCTTGTCAGATAAATTTGGGAAGTGGGCCACCCCACTTTTGTTTAGTTTAGGGTTTTTTTTTTTTTTTTTGGTTGTCAGATTTTTCTGGGAAGTTTCCCCCCATACTTTTGAAACCGTTTCTACGGACCTGCGTTTAGAACGCATGTAAAAAATTAATTCAAAACGTAAAAACTTTCAAAGATAAAACCCAGACCCCCCCCCCCTCCATCGAAAACCCCTATCGGGACCCTAGACCCGCTTAGGACTTGGGTGGTCCCCAAATCCCTTGCCTCACTAAAAATTTGAGCCTAGTTACGGCCTTGAAGTCTCTCTATATTTTCAGTTAGAGTGATCTGTCTTTGCATCTAAAATAAAACAAACCCAAATCTACGGTGTATTACTCAATTTGTAATCAATTCAAACATTTTAAACATTTTATTAGGCCAAGGTAAAATAAACACTTCATTTACTTGTATTTTCCACTCATAAATAAGTAATGGGGATTTCTGTTCATCGAAACTTTTTTTTTGAGTAAATGGCAGGTACTTTTGCTGAAAATCTAACAGATAATTTCAATTTTTATACCTTAAAGGCTTTATTCAATATAATACTTTTCTGTGCATTTTTAGTGATGAATTGTTAAATATTAATCAAAACAAATAAATTCATGGATATGAAAATCGGACTGAGATAAAAGATAGGAAAGTACCTGTATTATCTATTAAATTATTTTATTCAAAGACAAATGCAACAAATATCTGAAATATATGTGCTCAAGTTGTTTACTCTGCACGCATCACTGAGCCAGACTGACATCACTTAGTGGTGAGTAGGTTTTGCTTTCTCACATTTCTTCTCTAATTTTTCTAGATTATAGTTTTAATATTTTTCATTAACACACAACAAATTTTCCACTTTTCTTAATTTTTTAGGATAAAGTTTTCTTCATGATATTGGAGGGATATATGTCAATCAAACGCGCCCCAAAATTCGTAGTTTTAATCATTTCCAGATAGATGATGTTTCTAAACACGCTTTTATAATGCTCGAGCATTTGAAAAGGGTGCTTCTTCCAAAATTGTGAATTTCATGGTCCCCAGGTAAGGGGTTTTGGTGTTAGGGCGGGGCTTTATAGATTATATAGTGGGATTGCATTAATTCTTTGAAAATCTTCTCTGCTCCTGGGTATTTATCTAATCAGATAAACTAAGTGCATGGTTATGATGAGCAAGGTTGCCTCTTTCAAAATGGTGAAATTTGTGGCTCCAGGGTTCAGGTGGGGTTGTTGGATATATAGTGAAAATGCTTCTCTGCTCCTGGGCATCTGGGCAGCAAACAGAGTATATAAACATTGTAATGAACAAAGGTGTTTCTATCAGATTGTTAAATTTCTGCACCACTTGGTGAATTTATTAATTTGTATTCTACTGCAAGAAGTTACCGGTATTCCCCTTTGCTATTCACCTGTGATAATTAATCACTGTAAATAATGAATTGAAAAGTCAATTGAATAACAGAAATATACAGGAATTCTTACAATATTTAATACAAAAAGTTCTCTCATAGTTTTAATGGCCAGGTAGGCTTTTAATGAATAGATAAATAAAAATGGGACAAAAGTACCTTATATTTGTACATTAAATGTTCTTCAAAGTTTAAGTGAGGCCAATGTGAGAGGGAATGAGATTGATTTACTAAAAGTGCTCAAGAACTGTTGTTTTATTTAGTCCGCATGGGGATGTGGCAAATGGGGGAAAGTGCAGGCAAGTAAATGGATCAACTTTAAGATAGGTTACTGAGCACTATATTAATTATTTTGCTGATCCCTGATCATCCTATTTCTCTTGCTTTTGGGCAACATATCTTCATTTATCAGCTTATTTTGTTTGATTTTATATTCAATCTTTGGATCCTTTACAGTGTTACATTATACTCAGGTGACTGTTAAGGCCCTAGGGCCTCTTGGTAATCATATTTTACATTGCACTTTGGGATACATAGAAATTGAATTTGCATCTACTCTTATATATCAATGGGACAGACCTTTTGAGAGTACAATGTACTAAATCTATCATTTGATAAAAGGAAACAAAATTATAACAATTAATTTTTGTCCAGCTACATGTACACATGCTAATAGGAAATTACATGTGCTTGGGACTAATTTGGTATACTGGTTTGGCATTTATATATATATATATATATATATATATATATATATATATATATATATATATATATATATATATATATATATATATATATATATATATATATATGGACTGTGGATATTAGCTGGATAGCTCAATGGTTAGAGCATTTGACTAGTAATGCAGGGGTTCCAGGTTTTATTCCCAGTCCAGCCAAAAATTTTCTCCTTTCCCATTGAATTTGCTGCTGTTGACCACCACTGGACGTGCAGGTGAAATTCCTTCCAGAGGCTACAGAAACTGGGCTGGATGTCTTCAAGGGCAAAGGCAATTTAAGGAGGGAAAAATATAGTGGGTTGGGCTATCTGGACTTATCAGCCTGGATAGCTCAGTGGATAGAACACTTGATTAGTAATGTATGGATCCCCGTTTCCTGGTCCAGCCATTAATGTTACACTGTGATCGTATTCCATTACAAGGCTTCTGCTTAAGGCTATAAAAGAATAGGGGTGGCTAAATAATCACATTGGCCCCCTTCCATTAGATGAATGTTTGATGGATCTCCTATTTTAGCTGGTAGTATTTTGTAATTGATGTACTACCATCATCAGCTGATTATACTGACCTCCTTATTTTATATTTGAACAAACCATGATTGATATTTAAAACTACCTTCTTCCTTATTGACATTTAAACATTCAGATTATTATCAATCTTCACATTATTGCATTACAAAAAAGACACTCAATCTTTGGCTGTTACTACATTGTACTTATGAAAAGTATAGGAAATGTGCAGTCATTATTACAGACTGTTCAATTACTATCTAAAGGTTGGGTGGGATGAAATATATAAACTTTTTCATTTACGGTATCTACAACCTCCATACTTCAGAGTATGGCACTGAATCTTTATGAGAAGGTGTGAGATAAATTTTATTCTTAACATCTTTACAAGTAATAGAAACAACTTACACACAACTATATTGCTCTATACATGTTTTCTGCTAAAAGTGTTTTAAAAAAAACAACACTACTTAATGCGGCAATAAGTTTATTTGTTTGAAAATTAACATTAAAGGGAAAGAATGTGCATTCACGAAAGTTGTATTTCTTCAATTATCTGAGTAACCTGACAAACCCAGCACCACTAAAGGTAAAGAAAATGAAAAACAAAAAAGGTAAATGTATAAAATAAAATATGAACACAGCTAATGGAATTTAAAAATCCAGAAAATGTCTTTTACCCTTGCAAAAGCTAATTATCCATCCTTAGAAGTCACCTAAATACAAATTCTGTAGTTTCAAAGTTGCATGGATTTTAATACACACAATTATGTGGCAATATTCAACAAAAAAATGTGTAATTTTTGCATCTGAAGATGTATACATACTGGTATTAAAGTAATAGCAATAAAACTGAAGAATATTATACACAGATAGACGGAGCTGATAATAAGAAACAGTATACATGTATCTGCAAAAGTAGTTTAAAAACAATCAACAGAAAACAATTATCCTTTAAACATACAATATATAATGCTGATTTATGCACTGTGCCCTTTGTATTGGTCATTTTAAAAAAATATGAAATAATGAAACAAGTAATAATGTGCATTGCACTGAGATAGGGAAGAATTAATCTTGGGTACCAACAAAAACATGAAACATGAATTAAAATGTTTGGAGCAGAAAGTAAATCTACAATAAAAAGAAAGACTATAAAAGATTTGACATGATGAATAATAAATAATAAAAATAATAACAATTTTAAGAGATTTAAATTTTAACAATGTTCACAACCGTGTAAGGACTTTATAAAGTCTTTCAGACAATGGATGATTTTGGTGTATCACAGTCAGCAGCTGGATTGTTTGTTTGTTTGTTGTTTTTCACAGCCTGATTCTAAATGAACTGTAAAACAAAAAAAATGAAGTACAATAAATCATGTACCAACTGTGATTCATTTTCAAACCTCTTATATTCATGTGTAAAATCTTTTATGTCAAAAACATTTGACAGATTTAATTTACTCATATGGGGAAAAAAAACTTCTAATAATCAAAGATATAAATAAATCATACTTAATGAAATCAGGAGCCTTTGAGATGACATGTTCAAATTCAGCAAATGAGAGGGAATCATCATCATCCAAGTCAGCCTCTTCCAAAATCTGAAGATAAAAGAAAATCTCTCATGTCAAACTGTAAGTCAAATAAACCACAGCAGGCGTTAGAAGCCAAGAAAAAAAAGTCGACTTGCATTTTGGATGAGTTGTTCCATCTCCTCATCAGTCAGTTTTTGCTCCCCTGTCAATCTGTTTATTACCTGCCTTAGGTCTTTGCCACTGATGACCTCATCTTCATCAAAATCTTAAAAAAAAAAGAGCTATTAGAAAAGGAAATGCTGAAAATGGATTAAGGAAGGGAGGGACATTGTGTCTTCAAGTTTATGTGATTTGGAGATAATCTCCAACTTTACAGAGGCAGAGAATTTGACTTAATAAGTCATGTAAAGTTCTTACTGCATTAAATTTAATGCAATACATATCAATAAAGATATGACAGTATTTAAAAATGTTAATGAAAAGATTAAATGTTTAAAGCTTTAATATCCATCTCTAAGCAATTGTAGGTAATTTTTTGTTTCCTTTTCCTACTTTAAGAAGTGTCATCTCTTCAAACACAGGATGTAGAACCTACCATAAATCCTGAAAGCATATTCCACTTTGACATTTTTGGGTGCATTATCACTGAACACTGACATCATATCAAGGAAATCCTCAAAAGTCATACTTCCATCCCCCGACGATGAGAAGACTGTGGTGATTCTGTCATTAAATGGGTTCACCTACAAACAGAGTACTTATAAATACTACCACAAATTACATCAATAATAGAATAATTATATAAGTAGGACACTGTTCAATCTCAAGTGAAAAAAAACCTTGACAAAAATAATGTGTCTCGCTCCCTTTAATAAAACTTGATCTGATACTGATGATAAACATTCAAAATCTTCATGCTCTTGTATATGTGCCATTACACATGTATACTGTATACAGAGAAATTTTCGCCCCCGTTTTATTTTCGTCCCTTTCGCCCTACTCATAGGTGGGCAAATTTAAAATAAGGCGAATTCAAAGAACACAGTATAATTTCTTAAACAGAACTGTGACTGGGCGAATTTTAAATGGGGCAAATTCATTTGCAAGTGTGAAAGGGTGAAAATAACATGGGAGAAAATTACCCTGTATACAGTAGATTAAATACCATTAATTCTGGAAGGTTTAGAATGGTTTCCCTGGAAAGCTTGGCATTTTTGTTACTGTTAACGCTTGCTTGATCAAGCTCCTGGAATCTTTTGAATACACTACAAGGCGAGCAAATAAATAAAATACTTTGTGAGTTTCTTTTTTCCCCATATCTTTATGTACATACCAGGTATTTTAACAATTCTAATACTCAGTATGTCTCTTAATTTATCCATAAATAAACTTTAATCGATTTACATACTGCAATATTTCTTTCTTTGTAAAGTATGTCAGCTCCTGTAATGATGAAATGATGAAAGTTATTATACTTGTATATAAAAGAAAATACATTATATACATTGATTTTATTATATAATATGCATGTTACTAGAGCATGTTCATAGTTTACACATAAACTCCTCTTTATAAATGATACTCATTTACAGTTATAAAAAAAAAATCAATGACTTGATGATACTTCAGCAAGGGCACACTATGTCAAGGTTCTTGTTGCAATTATGATTTATTGATGGATTCAAAAAACAATTAAACATATAATAAAAATTGTAGACAGAATTTTTTTATGGTGTATGGTAATAAATAATTAATGCATAAAATACCATTTACAATCCCTCCTCCCCAAAAGAGACATCATATATAAATACTAGATTGTTCTAAAGCATTGAAACATCATGATGGCATACCAACTATAGTACTTGTCATGTGATATTTCTAGTTTCATGTCAGCAATGTTATGACGGCACTTTTTCAGAAATATAAATAACGGAAAAAAAATTTCAGAAATATGTTAGAAATGTCATAAAGCCTGATATTTATAATATGTCTCTGACTTTTTACTTTATATTAACATATATATTTTTTCAATCATTTCTAATTTTTTTAATGTTTTAAGAGACTTAAAAGAAGGAAGTTGGTTTATTGCAAAATTTCCTTTACAGACATATGCCAGTCAATCTTCCCACTGGGTTAAAATACTATGTGGTTGTCAATCTTAATTTATCAAATATAATAAATAAAATAGGACATACAAAGTCTACAATGTTAACTCAATTCAAATGCAAATTTTAGAGTGAGAAAAAAATGATCTAAAAATAGAATCAGAAGGTCAAGCACATCATGAATTTTTATTTATTCATATTTTTTTAATAAATATTTATATTTTCCAATTTTGGGGAACTTAAAGAAATTGCACATTAGATAAATCATTAAAATACCTGATAGTCAGTTAGTTCTTGTTCCGTGAAGACACTCTGTGATCCTCCCATATTATTAAAATTTATACAAAACAACTGCCTTTCTGTTTTGTTCTGTTTTGCTTCCTGTTTCGATGGAATGTAAATGTGTACCCGAACCCGATGGGAAAACTTGAGGTGCATTTGATTACATATATGCACGTACGTCTAAATTTACTTTTGAAATATTAGCGAGAAACTAAGAATTTAGAATTAGTTTTGAAAAATGACATGCATATCTTAATTTTTAATCTACTAGGGGACTGAAATTTATAGCATCGTGGTCAAATTACCTCACGAAAAAATACGAAACTAATGTTGAACTGAACTGAACGCATCTTGTAATATTTACATGACGTTTAGTCAGAAAAGAGAGAAGAAAACAAAATGTTTGCACAAATTTCACAAGGACAAACAGGTAAAACCTTTACTTGTATCATTACCATATATTTTTTTGTAACCTAAACAGTTTTCTCAGAACAAATGGCCACATAGTCTTTGGGCGAGTATGACCAGTGGCAATGGCATGATGATATTGAATCATATTGATGGATTTTACTTTCTCTGTGTGTAAAAATGGTGACATCGGGGTCTTTCTGGGACAACTTTTTAAAAGGATTTAAGTTATTTCGTAGGACATTTTAACTATATACTGTTGATTATCTCAAAGATGCATCTCATTGATCCAGTTTATCTCTGATTATCTGTCTCAAAAAAAACAAAACAAAAAACATTCAAAGGAAAAATTTATGTTGAATATTATTAATCATACTTTTCAGTAATCACTTTCAAATATTATTATACCTCATTTTAATTATTCTATACAACACATTATCTGATTGGTTCTAGATTATCACGTGACGGGGCTATAAATCTTCATATTTCCCTGTCTCTGTCATGCTTTTCCTTCGGAGACCTAGTGCATTTTCCCGCGATAGTTATCATTCATTGAATGGAAACTCCCAAGAGTAGTAGATGTCACAATAGCCTGGTTCACATCAAAAAATTGCTGATTGTTTAATCGGAGTGTGATGTGTCCAGTAACTTTACACTAAAATTGAAAGTGAATTTAAGAGCGAGGCCAAATTTGAAAGTTTGTGTTTATATTTAAAGTTTTTGCATGTTTGCTTATAATAAACAATTTATTGCATGAATGTTCAGGAAACATGAAGATTTATCTGGCCCAAGAAATATCACATTCCCCTTTGGCGAAGCCCTAGGGGAATATGATTTTTCTTGGCTGAAAAAATCTTCATATTTCCCTCACGATCATGCAATAACTGTATAGACCTATTGTAAACACTTGTGAAAATAAAACATAGACTAAGTCATAAACTCTAGAGATGTGGAAAATAGATTAATGTTAACTATATTCTTTGCCCTTGTTAACTATTGTGTATCATAATGATCAATAAACTTAGATTATATAAAATGCAAAACTATTAGTATATTTCTCTCATTTTTTATTTCTTCAGCTTTAATCCAGCTAATACATACCAATTTTTAACCAAATTCTAATATCACAACAGTTTATTTGACTTTTCCATCTTCCAAATATTTTTTCAGTGATCTCTGTTTTGGTAAGATCTCTGGATCAGAGATACACTTAATTTTTAAAAAATATTCTGAGGTCAAGTTGTAAAAGATATGTCTATATAAAACTTATAAGTATTTTCACCTAAAAATCATTAATTATAACACATTATACAAAAGAGCATGAAGTTAAATCCTCAATAGTATATTTGTACACAGATGTCATCTTTAAAAAAATGTTGTTTTTTTCCTCTCCCGACTAACTAGCTTAAAATGGCCTGAATCATAACCTTTTTTTATCATCCAGGAAATGATTTTTTTAATTCTTTGTGGAATTTTCTCATCCCATCAACAACTATTTTAATTTTATATTTAAAAATTCAAGCATTTCAGATTAAGAAGAAAAAAAAAAAGATTGATTGCTGTATATCAGGGTAAATTATAACAAGAGTTTTGTTGAATGAGAGAATGTTTTCTCAACAATTATTGTAACAGTTGTTCAATCAGCATAATGGGATTACTAGCTGTTTCAAATGTAGACACACAATCATTGGTTACATTGTGTTGGTTCAGTTCTGCTGCACCTGCCATTATTACCGTATGTTAATGACAAACAAAAAGTAGTGAAATATTTTTCCCAATGGTATAGAGTTACTGTTTGTTGACAACAAATTTTACAGTACAAAAAATGATTTTTCTATTTCTTTTATTGCACAGATTCCAATAATCCAGTTCTGTATGAGGTAAGGTTTAGGGAAGCCTTCTAATTTGGTAAAAATAATTAAAGTTACATGTCATCAGTCTTTAAAGGATGAATGAAACAGTTTGTAATAATTTTAATTACTCTTATTAAGATTTTTAATCATTTTTTTTTTCCAATTAATTGTAATTTTTATAAATGTCCCTTGTAATGATATTGAATTATTGACAAAAAACTATATTAGGTATGTACTGATGATATATAATATTTATTACTGATTTTACAGGAGGTAAAACTCTCCAAGTCTGCCAGAGAAAGAGAAAAGTAAGTTTCAGTGTTTGTAAGGTCAAAGGTTAATTCAGTAAATTATGCAATTTCAGTAATAAAGGGTATATTTGTAAGATGGGCATAAAGGGAAATAAGAAAAGAGGAGAGGTGAAGGGGAGAAAAGGACTTTGCTGAAACAGGGAAATACTTAATTCTTAATGTTAAATTTTTAAAAAATTTATTTTGGTTCAGGTATGACAACATGGCAGAACTTTATGCAGTCATTAACACGCTGCAGAGTTTAGAGAAAGCTTACATTAAAGATGCTGTTCAACCCAAAGAGTAAGTAAACACTCACAGATAAAGAAGTTTTATATCATAGTTTGCTTACAAAACTCTTATCATGTGTATCAGTGTCACACTGTGTAACTGAACAAAAGACATCGGTATTTCCAATGAAGCTTTAATTTATGAATATAGAAAACAAGACTGTTGTTGCAAGTTACATAGCAATTTATATACAACATGATAGTGGATTGCACTGGTGTTGAATGTAATGTAGACTCTTTCTGGTACGGTAACACTACCTTCATAAACAGTTATAAGTAAGTCATGTTCAGGTCAGGCGAGACCTAAAACCATGCAAGATTTCACTGCTTTTTCATCAAGTGTGAGCATTACAAGGAAGAATCATGACATTTGAATGAGACCATAAAAGCACATTTTTATGAAACTTTTTTTTGAAATGCATTTTGATTGGATAATACACTGATGTTTGAGGCAGTTTAACAAGCATTTACAAGAATGAAAGTTTTCGATTGTGACGTCATAATAGAACGACACAAAAACAATGCTTCGTGACATATTTCATGTAAAAGAGTGAAACTTGTATTTTTTCTTGATGGAAAAATTGAATAATACGTACATGTATAAAACTGTTCTAATTTTAGATATACAGCTGCTTGCTCAAAACTGCTGGTGCAATATAAAGCTGCATTCAAACTTGTTCAGGGGGACTTCCAAACAGTGGAGCAGTTTATGAAAAAATACAGGGTAATTATAATGCCCACCATAAAAAAAAATCACTTTAATAAAATGAATTTAAAAAATTTGATAGAGAGAGAAGATATGATATCAATAGAATATACTTGTTGATTTCCAGTTGGATTGCCCTGCTGCTCTCGAAAGAATTAAGGAGGATCGACCAATCACAATCAAGGATGGTATTAGTCAAGGAAACACAAGCAAAGCTATTGCAGACATTGTTTCGGTGAGAATCTGAAAAGTTTTACTGCACTTGATTAATCTGTGTTAACATGTATGATTTAAAATGATGTTCTTTTATTTTTCTTTTCAGCTGTTTATCACTGTAATGGACACCTTAAGATTAGAAATAAGAGCTATGGATAGGGTAAGAGTTTTTCTTTTCATTGGTAAAAGTGTAATTCAAGTCCTGGAGAGCATTTTTGGAATGCTTTTCAAGCTGTTCTTCTTTAGATATTTTTGTGCTCTTTCAGAAACCTTAAATATTTATTTTCTACTGTCAGATTCAGCCTGATCTGAAAGAACTAATGGAAACATTGAACAGATTAAGTATTTTACCCAAAGACTTTGAGGGAACTCAGAAAGTAAAAAAGTGGTGAGTTTGTCTTTAAACCTGTGATCATTATTTATCATTTTCTTTTATTAAAGTACATAACAAATATGACAGTATTGAAACCATGAAAATACAGTGAAACCTGTCTGCTGTGGGAAATAAAATCAATGTCGGATTAGTCAGTGTGTCAGTAATTAGGTTAAACTTCATAAAATTTTAGGCAGATTTTGTTCCAATTCCAATATATTCTGTTGTAGGTTAGATATATTCAATGAGATGTCAGCGTCTGAAGAACTAGATGATAACCAGGTTCGGCAGATTCTGTTTGATTTGGAAGCTGCTTACAATGCCTTTAATCGCATCCTTCATGACCACTGAAAGAGAATCAAAACACCAAAAGGAAACGAACAATATTGCCAGTGTGACAGTATAGACCCCTGTCATCATCTTTTCCAAAACAGGTGTGCTTGTTACCGTTTTATAAACCAGAAGAATTCTTTTGTAAAGCATACTACAGTTCATTGTCATGTTTTGCAATTAACAGCAAATTGGAAAATGTGATGGTAAAATTCGTAAGAAATTGATTTTCAGTGTGCTAACAGACATAAAAATAGATGTAGGTAAATATGTATTCCAGCAATACATTAATTGCTACTTGCTTTATTTAAATTTTGAGAATATACACTTGTAATAAAAAAAAGTTTCATATTTTGTTTTTATGCCTATTTTAAAAATGACAATGAAACTAAAAGTTATGTTATGAAAAGTTACAGAAAACAAGGCAACTCTACTGTTCATTGTTTTTTAGTAGCTCTGTCATTCTGTAAACTTGTATCCCTGAGGGCTATCGAAATTTCATGATTGGGATTTTTTTCTGTAACTTGTATTGTGTGTTATAAGACATATGTGTACATCCTTGCTACATGCTATATCACCAGTATAAATGTTCTCTTTACTTAACTCCTGTTGTCCTGTTTATTCTTTATGTCAAACACTCATAATTTAACAAATCAATTTTTAAAAATCTTAAATGGATCAATATATTAGTACCCAGTACACAAGAAACAACATTAAATAGCCCTGAAAATGCCGAGATAAAATGACTATTTTTCATTACATGAGAGTTGTGCCTTTGAGAGTTTTTAAAGATTGTGTGTTGTTTTTAACAGATCTGTTTTCTTCCATTTTGTCTTCTTATCCCTAACTATGATAAGAAGTGATATTTTGGCTTGAACTGTTCATGGTCACTTAAAAGCTCATTTGAATGTCTGGGAACAGTACTGACATAATTATTACCTGTGAACAAATTTTATTTGAAGCTTCTTGTGTTTGAAACTCATCATTATATAAATTTATGCTTTTCATTGGTAAATCTTGCATAAGATTCCTGGAGTGCTTTTAATATATGGGCTATGTTTATCATTTGAAAGACTTGAAAATGGTAAAATTGCTTTGTGAACATATACATTTGTATATTGTTCAAGATCTCATTATGATTATTATTATTTTGTTTTTTTTGCTATGTATTGTTGTTGTCTTTAAACACTGTATATAAACTGCTTAACATTGCAGTAAATGAATTTTAACTTTTTTTTTTTTTTGAACAGCCACAAAATACTAATTTCTTAAAACTTCTTGCATGCTGCTTGCCTGGTAAAGGATTTTATTAATATTACGTATCTGACAAAGAAAATCAAATTACTATCCAGTATGATCGACTCCACACAGTTAAAAGAATGAACTTATAGAGAACTGGTCTGAAGTCATGAAATAGGGGACAGATTGTATCTACCCTGGTATATATACGGTATCAGCTAATACTGAGACTAAAGTCTTGTATATAATGTATCTGTATCTTCTTGTAAACTGTGATAACTGAGAGGTAATGTAAAATACATTGTACTAATTGATCCGAGAAAGGATTGGAATATTGTAAATAAATAAACAATAAAATATTAACTTTGTATTTCTAGCTTTATTTCTTATTTGTAACAAAATACAGCTAAATAACAAATAATCTGTTTAAAAGGAGGAATGCATTTACATTTCCAGTTAAGTAAAAGGATTACGGTAGGGTGGCAGTATACCATAGCTGAACACAGATGATTAAATCAGCAAAGATTGTCTTTTTTTTCTCTCTGAGCAATTATACACTTCAAATAAATTGTTTTCAGTTCAATCCATGCTATACAGATTATTTGAAAGTTACACACAAGGAATGAAAATTAATTGAGGAAGGGGCATCTACATTGTACAAAATTTAACAATTGTAAACTGTACAATAAATATAGAGATGAAATAATGTTTAAACTACAAAAAACAAACAAACAAAAAATTGAGCTAAAATCACAGCAAGTTAAAAGACAAAAGCACTGGTGGTGCTGAGCTGTTTCTGGTACACTTATGTATTTAACAGTCAATTAAAAAGAATAATGTATAAAATTATATTTTAGTTAAAAAGTAAATGTCCATACAGAAATTGTGAAATTGTATTTTCCTAGCAAAAACATGTTCACATTTCTTTAAAATTTCACTTAAAGATGTTTTCTTCATTAAATCAATGTTTATACATGAAGGTGAAAAATAAGTTTTCAGCTAGTCTGTCGTATTCTGTATGTACTTGTTGTATGGTACAATTTGATACAGGTTCATGTTTATAAAAAATGTAGATTAAAGCAATGAAATATGGTTTTGACAATTATATAAGCTATTGTATGATCATAAAATCAAATGGGAAAAAAGATGCTAAACAAAGCACTTATATAATGTGTGACTAGAGTATACTAGTAAAAAGTGACAATACTGAAAAAAAATTCAGGCATTAGGTGCCACAAGATTTAAATATTTGATCATTGACAAACCTAGCAGCAATAACATATTCTAGTATGGATTTCTTTCTCAAGTAATAGAACTGCACGAGGAGACGTGTCTAATTCTATTACCACTCTGAGCTTTCCTCTTAAAAAAATACTGAATCCCAAATTAATAACTGAACATGTTCAAAGATGTCAATCATAGACCTACATGCTTAATTTATTTGTCATTCTAAATGCATCAAAAGTGTCATGTCTTTACTGACAACATCTACTATGAAACATTGTATAAAGATATAATGCATACAACTACAATAAATGTCAGTTGATATATATATGTTAACATTAGTGAGCGAATGTAAGAGTTATACAGGTATATGGTAATAAGTACAAGACAAATGGAATGGGTCAAGTAGCAAGCCTCCACATTCACCAGTGTCCATTGTACATTCAACCTCGATTTATGGATACTTTCCATTGCACCAATAAGAGATAGGAGATTTCTGTTAGTAAAATGTACCATCGCAGGCTGCAGAAAAGAATCTTTTTCTGTGCTTTCTCTCTGCTTAGCAATTTTCTGTTTTAATGAGTCATTTCACTTTCTTAGGGGAAAAACACATACAAAAAAAAAAAAAAAAAAAAAAAAAAAAAATCACAGTCAAATTTTGTAGCAGTTTGTCCATGCTGACTTTGAACTTTACACTGCCTCATACAGCTCTGTAAAAATAAAAAAAATATATTACAAAATATACATTTAAGAACCTTCAAGACAACTTCAATCAGTTTGTCAACAAGAGGCCCAAGGGCCATTATGTTCACCTGAGTGTAAAGGATCTATGGATTTATATCATAAAGCAAATTTAATTGATAGGAGAAAGTATGTTGCTCACAGACAAAAGAAATGGAGAAATAGTTTGTCCAAGTCTGATAATCTGCAACATCTTTATTTACTTGCTGTATATGCCAGCGCTACCTACGCTTCTATGCTTTGTATCATTAATCATAAATACAATATAGTGCTTCAGCATAAACCCTTTCAATCATCCTATCCTGCTCTTTTTGTATTGTAAAAATTTAAACTATATATATAAAGTATTTTTTCTAGTGTTTATATATTTCTTTTTTACAAATCAACTTGACTATTAAAAACTAATATACTTTTTGTATTATGCAATAAAAATTCTTCTATAATTCTTTTATTATACCCATCACTTACATTATGTACAGTGATTAATTTTCACAGGTAAGTAATTAAAGGGGAATAACTTCTCTCAAACTAGAGTAAAATTTTCCATACATTATCAATAAGCACCAAGTGCCCTAGCACCAGAACCCCTGACCCAGACAGCATGAATTTCACAAATCTGGTAAAAGTAGACTTGCTCATAACAGCTATGATTTGTTTGCATGCTACATGCATGGGAGCAAAGAAAGTTTTCAAAGCATTAATTCATTTTTACTATATGATCAATAGAGCAACACCCTAACCCTGACCCAGGGACCATTATTTCACAGTTTTGGAAAAAGCACCTGTGCTCATCAAAATTATGCACTTAGATTGTCTGCTTAGCACCCAGGAACAGATAAGATTTTCAGTGAATTAATGCATTTTCACTATCTGACCAATAGAACCCCACCCTAATGCCAGATATCCTGACCCAGGGGCCATGGATTACAAAATTTTGGAAGAGACACCCAAGCTAATCATAATCTTGTACTTGGTTTGTCTGCTTAATACTTAGGAGCAGAGAAGAAGATTTTCAGAGAATTAACACTTTTCCAATATATGATAAATAGAGCACTACCCTAACACCAGAACACTGACCCCAAACCATGTACTTAGTTTGTCTGCTTAGTACCCAGGAGCAGAGAAAAAAAAATTCAAAGAATTTATGCATTTTCACATATGATCAATAGTCTAAGCCCTACCCTTACACAAGAACCCTTGATGGTTTTGGCCCCACCCCTAAGGCCCTAGGGGGGGCAGAGACCTTTTTGTTCCCCTTCATCCATAGATGATGTTTGGCAAAATTGGCTGAAATTGGTTCAGTGGTTCCAGGGAAAAAGATGAAAATGTTCAAAAGTTTACAGCTGACATATGACGATGGACAAAAACAGATAGCAATAGGTCACCTGAGTGAGTAAGGTGACCTAAGAATATGAAAGCAGAAACAAAATACATATACTATTATATTTCTTAAATAATAGAATATAATTGTTCCACAAAATATTCCAAAGAGCCTAATAAAAAGGTCTTAATGAAAATTAGCAGGTGTGAAATTAAAATTGGAGACCTACCATCTGGTTCTCCAGGACCAATGTCTGCATCAGCGTACTCCTCCTGATCATCCATTAGTAATCTATAACAGACAATTGATATAGTAATGCAGCTGTCAAAATGAGGCCTTGTAAACCCCTATACAGGTTGGACCTGCAATTTGGCTGTGGAAATGTTTACACATCAGTTACTTATCACATTTCTACATGTTTTTTTTTATTGTTTATATTAACATTTGCAGATGTTTTCCCTTATATAATACCAAGGAAAATTCAGTCATCATATTTCAAAATTAGACTATAATTATGATCTTTATTTATATACATAATCTCCATTTATATCTGGTTTTATTAAAACAAAAAAGACAAAAAAACTGTAGGAGGAATTTATACCAGTATGATTTTAACCATACTCTGTTTATAGTAGAAGTGGCAACATGCTTCATGGAATTCAAAATATTACTGCAGCAATTTTGCAAAATATTGTACAAATTATTTACAACTCTCCTATTTTAGCGAGGAAAAAATAGAGGGAAGATAAATGTGGGAGCTAGTGTTCACATTGGTGAATGCAAGTCTTCTTTTTTGTGCGAAAAATGGGTTTTAATACACATTATCAGTTATAGAAGGTGGTGATAGTTTGAAAGGGGAATATTTGTGCATATCATTTTAATATACTGTATTGCACTGTGCTACATTGAATAATAAACATCATAACCTTCTGTAGTAAGACTCCACTCAGTTCACCTTTAGACACACAAAATCAAGTACGGTATTCTAACTGTAAAGTTTTAACAATAAATCCACAAACCACATCAAGAAATGTCTGAACAGTGAAGTACTTACTCAGGAGGAGGGGGAGGAAGAGGCATACTGTTCATGTAATCACCAGCCATTACCTGAAAGTACCAAACAAAACACCAGACTTACAAAAAAGACTATATGGATTGGCTAACTCTAAAGACACTGACTTGTATAGCAGTCAAGGAGCAATCATGTAAATCTCTACAAAGTACATAGAAATATTTTAGTACATATAATATGCACCAACTACTTATAAATGAAATGTTTTTATTTGTATAAATTAGAATTTATATGATTTTTTAAAAAATTAAGGCATGATGTAAATTATATACATATTCTACCGGCCAGCAGGTACATGTACCAAATAAACAAAAACATGCACTGAAAAATATCCCACAGCAGATCTCAGATCAGTGCATTTAGATTCACACTACTAAGTATACAACCTTGAGGTCAACTATACAGAGAAATTTTTGCCCCATTTGAATATCCTTTAATTTGCCATAATATTACAAATGATTTACATCAAATGCACCATATTAATTAGCAATTAATAACACATTAGCTCTAAAAACGATGCAAATCTGGATAATGTTTTGGCAAAATTTACATAGGGTGGAAATTTCTCTGTATATATAGTATCATATCTCCCTGAGTTGTCTTGAATACTAGCTGGTACATTTATATACTTAGAAGAACAGTATCTACCTACTGAAAGCATTAAGCTATATATACTTATTTGAAGAAAGAGTACACAAATTATAGTTCATATTTGATGGATAAACAAAAAGTCTTGAATGAAACTTAGCTGTACTAATTTTTTTTAAATTCAAATCATACAGAAAAATGGGTGATTAATTAGATATTAAATACTTAAATCAACTTTCCTTCTGCAAATTACCTTTGCAAATTTTACAATAAAAGAAAAATGAAAAGTTAACACTATAAACAAATAATAAACAAAAAAATTCTTACAAGAAGGATGGGTTTGAACAAAAGTATATCTGTCTATATGTTCCAAATTGGCATACAGCAATAGAAAGTCAGCTACAAATGTTTTTTGGTTTACAGAATGATATTTCTATTTGGATTCTTAATTTTCAATTCACACTAGCTAGAATTCTTCGATCAAATTGGCTAAACACTGGTCAGGCATAAAAAAAAAATTCAAAAATTTGCAGGTATATACTCTCCTTCCATTAATGACTCAATGAAGTGTGAAATTAATTCTGATAATTATTTATTTTTCTTTATGCATAGACGTATCACAAAAGCTTCAAAATGCACACAAACTTTTAGAATAAAGTGCAATTTTAAATTGAATTAAAGTACATGTACTTTAAAACAGAAAAATTATATTACTCAATCTTGAAGATCCATAGAGTTACAGGCACAGAAAGTGTTATTAATTGAAACAGGGCATAACAGGAAAAGTAAAAACTACAAGAGGCCCATGGGCCACATCGCTCACTTGAGCACTTTGGCTAGGAAAAAGCAGAAAACAGTTCAGCACTGAAAAATTTCTATTAATAAGTAGTACGAACCTATTAAGGGGGGGGGGGGGGAGGGCATGATTTGAACAAACTTAAATTTACACTAACTGAGGATGCTTCAATATTTCTTTGACTATTAATGGCTTTAGAAGATTTTTAAAGATTATATTCCTATAAATTTTATCTCCTATTGCCCCCCTCCCTCCCAGGCTTATTGATTAATTTTGAATCTACAATATCTGAGGATGCTTCTGTATTAATATGACTAATTATTGCTGTTCTCGAGAAAAGGATTTTTAATGATCATTCCTCTATATTCCTATGTAAAACTTTGATTCCCAATTGTGGCCCCATCCTAGCCTTAGGGATCAAGATTTGAACAAACTTGAATCTACACTACCTGACAATGCTTTGATATTAATATGACTAATCATGGTTTTGCTATTTTTTAGAAGAAGATTTTTAAATATTTTTCCTATGTATTCCTATTTAAAACTTTGATCGTCCATTGTGAGCCCACCCTACCCCCAGGGAGTCAGGATTTTAACAAATTTGAATCTACACTACCTGAGAATGCTCCCAAAAAAATATGACCAATCATAGCTTTGCTGTTCTTGAGAAAAAGATTTTTCCGATGTATTCCTACGTGAAACTATCCATTGTGGTCTCACCCTATCCCCTGGGGTCATGTTTAAAACAAACATGAATCTACACTACCTGAGGATGCTTCGATATAAATATGACTTATCATGGCTTTTCCATTTTGAAAAGAACATTTTTAAGATTTTTTCTATGCATTCCTATGTAAAAATTTGATCACCCACTGTGGCCCCACCCTACCCCCTGGGGTCATGATTTGAACAAAGTTGAATCTACACTACTTGACAATGCTTCCACATTTTATATTTTTATATTTTATATTATATTTTTCTGGCCCACTGGTTTTTAAGAAGAAGATTTTTAAACAATGCCATTAAATTTTCACTGATTTGTAATTATCTCCCCTTGCAAGAAGGCATGGCCCTTCATTTGAACAAATTTGAATCCCCTTTTGCCAAGGATAGTGGTTCTGGAAAAGAAGATAAAATTGTAAAAAGTTAACGACAACAGACAACAGACAGATTCTGATCAGAAAAGCTCACCTGAGCCTTTGGCTCAGGTGAGCTAAAAAAAGAAATCCAAAGAGAAGCATGCAGTTTTATTGCTAAGCTCACTTGAGCAGAGAAACATGCATTTTTACTCCTAAGCTCACTTGAACAGAGAAGCATGCAGCTTTACTGCTAAGTTCACTCAATTAAAGAAGTTTATAGTTTTACTAATAAAACCCCAGTCACATTTCCAAAAACGACCAATGGCCGACAGATTTTGAGGCCAAAATGAGATTCTTCTGGCGACAGTCAGCAGTTTATCGGCCATTGTCTTGCCCAATTTGAGCTCTTTTTTTCAGTGGCCGACCACTAATGTGTCCGTTGGGCCAAGTTTCAATTTTTTATGCGTCTGTGGCCAATTTCTCCAATTAAGGCAGTCACTGAATAGTCTGTCGACCAATCCTCGATCATCATCTGACCATCAGCAAACAGTTTGTTACGTTGGTCAACATTTAGGTATTGGGTTTTCCAAAATGTCAGCCAATGGTGAATATAAAACTGCAGTTCAATGCTCAATGATCAGGTATTGATTGGCCAACTTATAAATATTTAAACATTTAAAGTCATCGGTGTTCCTAGGAGTCTGTGTCGCCAGCTACTATAGTGTCATCCGATTATTTTTTTCGGCCGACAAGATAAGAAAAAATTGGTCGCCTGACAATTGGCTTAAATGTGACTCAGATAGAAGCTCACTCGAGCAGAGAGAAAGCAAGAGCAAATGCATGCAGTGAGTCTTACCTCCTATAGTCACAGAGAACATGCAGGGTAAAATAAATCATCATCATATATTAGTTCACATACAGTCCATGCTAAGTATTCAAAATAGTACAAAAACCATATCTGCTTGAACTTTCAGTAAGGCATGACAATCTTGGCGATACATAATTAGCGTCTCTCAAATGGTGACCTAGATTCTCATTGGTTAAGAAATTCATAACATTAGCAACTTTAGATTGTTGTTAACAAACAATGAGATGACATAAGCCACACCTCTTTACTATAAGAAATGATAAAACCGGTTCCTTGCGTCACTCGTTGACGTCTGAACCATTTTTATTCCATGTGTATTTCACCCGTGAATGAAAAGCTGTGTAAATTTCAGTGTTGATGAGCTAATCTGGCAACCAATGAGAATCTAGGTCACTATTTGAGAGACGCTAATTATGTATAGCCGAGAATATCACGCCTTACTGAAAGTTCAAGCAGAAATGGTATTTGTACTAACAAAGTGCAGTATATTATGTATTTCTTCATTTTTCAATCTATTTTTGCATGCTAGCCTTGTGGTTATTTTTTTAGCTGACATGCTTATGCTTTCAGATTAAAACATATCAATATTGTCACTGAAACAAAGCCAGAAACTTATGGGACATTTAACCCCCTCCCTCCCCCTCTGAGCATGATATGGAAAAATTACCTATAAACATAGTGTTTTCATTACCCTTGCAACATCACAAGACCTTAATGTTAATGGTATAATTAATTTACGGTTTCGATAAATCTCCTTTTCCTAAAGCAATATCTTTTTGTCAAATTTAAACTTCATTATTAGAACTATCCATCACAAAACCCAAATAGCATTTTATAGTTATGATCCTTGTGACCTTGTCCATATAAACTTGGCACCGGATTCAGTCATTCCTTGGAATAAGCAACCTTTGTGTTCATCAAGTTTAGCTATATGCACAAGAATTTGACACTTTTTATCCCTGTGATCTTGACCTTTTTTCCTTGATCTTGACTTTTGTTCAAAGTCAAGGAATGCTTAAAAGTTAAAAAACATCCTGTTCTATGTATGAACTCCTGCAATCCCTGCATTACAAAGGTTTGACCTAGTTAAGTTACATTTTTGATTCCTATGACATTGACCTTTTCTAAATGACCTTGGCTCAGGATCATAAGTCATAAGCATCTTGCATACTTATTATAAGCTTCATATGTTTCTCCATTTAATTAAAAATCTAAATCGCAGACACAAAGTGGAATAGCTAGCTAGATAGCTAGAGAGACAGACACACAGATATGGTGATTCCTACAACTTTTGTTTGCAGGAGATATTATTACAAAATAGAATGCATGCAAGAAATAATTATAGAACTTTTAATAGCCAGAGGATTTTTTAAAATAATGATACATTTTCATTGTATAGACATAAAGTACCAGGTATACATTTGCATATGTATGGCACTTAATTATTTCACCCTAAATCTTCTTGGGGGGTAAAGGTGACAATCAACACCCTTGCTAGGATACTGTGAATATACTTTATTCCATGGGTATAAATATAGTATGACATTATTAATGTTCATATCAAAAACTATAAATATGTTGTTGTTTTTTTTAATAATTAATTTACACTGTGTATCTATATATACATGTATTACACATGATACACGATATACCATGTACATATTGTGGGAGAGATACTCGTAGGTAAAATATAGATTCAGCTATACTATTCAAAGGTGTAAATTTTCTTCCTCTTTTTAATATGATGTTAACATTATAAAGCTTGTTAGGTGTAAATCTGATAATATCAAGCTATTTTCTCCCATACTCACTCTAACATATAACTGACTGTTAACAAATTTTGTATCAGGTCCCAAATTATGATCAAGCATATTCTGAAATCAAATGTTTCAAATGAAGTGGGTAGTCATTCATGTTATCAAATTATGTTAGAAAAATAAAATGTAGGTACTGCCATTCATAGCATCAATTTACAATTTTAAAGTTTGTTTGGATCACAGCACCTGTTTGAAATAAGTGACCTAATTATGAAATCCTGATTTTCTAGCTTTGTTACATAAGATATCATACATCTGCATGAGCATCATTTTTATCACACTTTTTGTTGTTGTTGGGGGGGGGGGGGGGGGGAGGGGCTTTTTCCTCATTCATTCATTCACAATTATATTTTAGATTTACTAAATCTAAATACAACATATTACATATGCTCTACCTTAAGATTTTTAACACCATTAGCTATATATATGATAGCAAAGAGAGAAATCAGTTTTCAGACTGTTGCCTGCAAAATGATTATATAGATGGAATTCTAGATAATTAAGCATTTATGTCTTGCACAGGGTGTGAATTTTTGTTTTTGTTACTCAAATCAGTTTTGTTTTCATTTGCACAAAAACATACAGAGATAGAGAAACTGTACAGAAGGCCTGGTCCTTACTCTGAAATATAAGTGTTTGATCTCATTTCAATTTTTTTTGGATGTATACTACTTACCGATTTAATGAGGTTGTTTTCCATGACTACATTACTGGAGTCCACATATCCAACTATATAACAGAACCAAAGGAAGGTAAAAATACTCAAGAAATATAACATATCAATTATAAATGGAATATCTTAACATATTCTGATGACATTCTAAACAACTTATTTACAACATACTGCTTCTTAGGAGGCAATAGGAAATTTACAACATTTAGTACAGAGTCTCAATACAAAGTCAAGAACATGTGCAGCAGACGCATGATTGTATGTACTGAGTAAAAACAAAACATTTTTGATCAAATATAACCAGAAAAGGTCACTCAAAATGGTTCAAGTAGGACTTATAAAATAAATTATATTTTCTAAGTCAAAAAAAAAAAAAAACAACACACACTGAAAAACAAAAAACAAATTTTAGAGAATTTGCAATATGATTATACGAATAGTCTTCTTCAAAACAAACAAAATGAAGTTGACCTTTGAACCCAATAATGATAGATAAAGCAGTACATTTACAACAACCAATCATGTCATTATATACAGGACAGTACTTACTCAGGAACTCCCACAGCTATAGTACAAGGCAGCAAGAAAAAAAAGTACATCATAAAAAATACCAATTCCTGACAAAACAGAAACTTTAACATGAATGTCAAGTACTTAGGTGCGTTTGTACCTATTCCTGTGGCTGCTAATTTGACCAGCCATTTTCCCTTGGGATTGTCGGTTAGACGGATTATCTGAACTCTCATGCCCTTCTTGACCTCCAGGCTGTTTTTGCTTCCTTTATCGTCCTCCATGATGTTACCTTCACCTTGTGGACTGTCAAGGTCAGATGGTTGTATCTGTGATGAAGATAAATGGAACATATTTCACTCGCATCAATGTGGTAAACATCTTTCTAATCATTTCATTCTCATTTTTGTGATCATTTCTATGAAAGTTACTGAAAAGTTTCTTTTTTCCTTCTGATATTTTCACATTTGCTAAATATATACAGTCATGTACCATTAAAAATGGATAAATGTATTTATTATATAGTCTATAAATAGCCCCTATATAATCTATACAAACGCAAACAGTTCATAACACTACATATTCACCGGATTTGAAGCCGTATTCACCGGAGGGTCTGTGCGCGTGCAGTGGCATTGTGACGTCACAATCAATACCCCAAACAACGTTGAAAACAATGGTTGCAACAGTCGGAGCTAGCTGAATATATGAGCAGGAAAAATTGTTTCGCAGGTCTATCGCAGGATTATTTTCTTAACATTTCGATGTCTTACGCACAGCAAAAGGAAAACACGGAGGTTATAGGTTGTAATCTGGACATTTTTTATTTTTCTACGACAGAAGTTCGTTAATGAAAATGAAATCGTTAGGCGGCCTTCAATGTCTGACTATATAATAAAACAATTATGGACTCTTTCGATGGTGAATATGGTTCGTTATTCACCAGAAAAATATCAATATTGACCTCGGCTTCGCCTCGGTAAATATTGGTATTTTTCTGGTGAATAACAAACCATATTCACCATCGAAAGAGTCCATAATTGTATAATAACTTGTAGATAATGCAACATAAACTATTTTCAAGGGAAACTGTTGAGAAATATGATGATTTGAGCCCATGAAATTTAATTTACTTAATTTTCAGTAACATTAATTTTTTTTTTCAATGTATAATAAAAAAAGAATAATGCTTTCACTTGTATCATAAAAAAAAAGAAAAATGCTTTCACTTACACGGAACTTTTTCTTGAGCATTTTCATTTCTTTCTCATATTTCTTCTTTTCCTCCTCTTGTCGTTTCTTTTCCTCCTTCATTCTTTTCTACAATACAGGGGATTAAATATCATCATATAATCTTTCACTATAATTACAGTATTCTTCAATTTCAGTGCATTGTATTCGAACAGGTACCTCACTACATGTATTAGATCAAGTATCTCACTACAAAGATTAGGGTTATCACTATAATTCAATAGATTAAATTTCAGTATTTTTAGCAGGCATCTCACTATATTGTAGTAGATTTAATTCCAGTATATGATGAAATCTCACTATTTTTAATAATTCTCAGTAGAATCAATTCCAGTGTATGATCTTGCTACAGTACAGCTGATTATCAGTTTAATACTAAATAAAATGTATTTACTATAATGCTGCAGTTTGAATTTTAATATCTGACCAGGTACCCCACTACGATACATATACTGTTGAGAGTATTTGATCTAGTACAATTATGTTATTAGAAAATGCTAGATTCTAATTCAGGACCAATTATTTAGTACTCTAAACCAACTACAGTTGAACTTTGGTATCTCAAACACAAATATCTCGAATACCATGGATATGTTGAAGTGATTGGGAAGTCCTAACCACATATTTCTTAAGTATTTTACCATCAATATCTCAAACCCTCGGATATCTCAAAGTTTTTTCTCAGTCCCATTGAGTCAGAGATAATGTATTCTGTATCTAGTCAAGACAACTTTTATTTCCCATTGGTCAGTTTGATATCTATCCTCAACCATTAATTTTGGCAACTGAGGATACATTCCACATAACTTCACAAACAAATGGTTCGAGAAATATTTTGAGTAATAGAAGGTACAAATCTCACAAATATTTCTTGCTAGCCTTGAAAATAAAAGTTAAGTTTTCAATATTTTTCAAATTTTTTAAGGATATGAAATTAAAGTAGCTGAATTTAGTTCCCCAGTGGTATTATTGAGTTTATTCTAAATTAATGTGGATTTTATGTAGCATCTGCTGTTAATGATACTGTACTTGTATTTAAATGAATTTAAGGTATGTCACTCGTCAGCTTTTTAGAAAAGTTGAGTCAGAACCTTTAACTTTAAAACTATTTGTTACAATTCAATTTTTATAACATATTTAAATTAAACAATGCAAATTATTCAACATTCAATTAAAAAACATCTCACAAATTTATAAAGAAGCAAGATTTATGAAGGACTATTTCTTGTGGTGGAAGGGTAATTAGAAGAAAATTCTTCAAATCTCCACATTTCTTAAATTTCATATCTTGGAACTTTAGCCCCACATATTTTTACTTAGAGAATATTTCTGTTATGATATGCTAGGAATATTAAATATAGGTCTCAATTTATATTTTTAGAATAAATTTTACACATTCACTCAACAGACTTTACCAAGAAATGAAGATATATCAAAGAAGTCAAGATAAAATTTACACTGTTTTTTGCCTGAAAATCACACATTTTGACCAATATCTCAAAATTTACATCACTGACCCAAACTTTTTCTTTCATTATTTTAAACAACACAATACTTCCAACCGATCAGCACTAATGTCATAAAAAGTTTGATACAAGAAAATATTTTATTGCCTATTTAGATATTTTATACCCCAAGTATGATACTTTTTAGTGCAGAAAGGTCAGACAATAATTTATATGCATTAATTTGCACGATTTGTTCAATGGTAAATATCATTCAAACTATTTTATGTAAAATATGATTATATTTATTGCCAAAATTACATCTGATAAAATATGATAAAGATTAAAGTGATTAACCAAAGAGTTACAATTTAAGTGCAAAAAAGTCAACTTAATTGTACCCTAGCTCGTTAAGATGCACACTGACCCCCCATTTTCTTTGCGATTTTGAGTCATGCTATATGAGTAATTACCTAAAATATACCTCTCAAAAAATCCTTGATATAACTAATTTCACGAGTGACATACCTTAACTTAATACTGTAAACATATTACATTTGGTTGTGTATTCTTTTTAGCACCATTCGTGGAAAGCTGCTTCCGCTAAATCTTGTACGTCACTAAATGTCTTGAATACATAGATTTACATCTAGGTCATTCAGAAATGTGCTAAACAAATCTACGCAAACTTGTTGAAAAGTCAATTTCATGCTGTGCATGCTAAATATAATACATTTATAGTATATTAAACTTTTATTGCTTTTTATTATCAGGATCACAAAGTTTAGGAAATTGGAAGTTTACTTGGTAAGACACAGAACCTATCTCTGGCCCTCCACCATCTAACTCCCATCTAACTCCATCTGATAAACCATCATACATGTTGGGAAAAAAGTTTTGCATATTAATGAAATAACTTATATAAAACCAATTTATCCTAATACAGTCAAATCTTCTTATCCTGCACTTGATAGGGCTGAGAAAAAAAACAAACTTTGTGATATCTATTGGTTTAAGATATCAATTTGAAAATACCTGGTACATCAAGAGAAAGTGGTTGGGGACTTCCAACTCACTTTGACATATCCATAGTGTTCGAGATAACAATGCTCGAGATACTGAAGTTTAACTGTATTTAATATGAACCTGTTCTTCCTTTTTCTCTCTCTCCTCCTTCTCTTTTCTTTCCTTCTCAAGTCTCTTCTCTTCTTGTTGCCTTTTCTTTTCTTCTTCCTCTTTTTTGTCCATCTCTCTGTAAGATACATAATTATCATGTACTGTAAGGGTAATTCTGAAATGTCTGGAGAGCTTCAAGGGCCTTTTACAGTTTCTACATTTGAAGCTATATGTATTATACAAGTAGGGATCTTCTGTCTAAGTGTAGGAATATGAGAGGCTTAGTATCGTTTCATGTATTATTTTGGATATTTTCAGATTTTTTATTCAGTGGTTTTCAGAGAATCTTCATATTATAAACTATTCTCATGCAGTACCTCTACTTATATTGCAAAGAAAAGGTCCAATTGCCATAATGCTAATCTGTGGGTGTATCACTTAACTAAAAATTATTAAAATCTGTAATTTAAGTGATGCACCATAATTGTCCCAAACTGTTGTGCATATTTGGAATAAACAAGAAAAACATGTTCCATTTACACACTAAAATTGACAATATTCCTAACATTCTGCCACTTTTGTCTCCTTCCTTTTTTACTGCCCCTGCTGAAGCTATTATTTGTGAAAACTTGCATTAATGAACCTTCAGAAAGATAGTTTCATATTAGGCTTTATTATAAGGCTCTGAAGCTCTTCAGAAACAAACTAATTCATAGAATTTGTGTCCCTGCCTTAAGGAAAAAAGAAGAGGACAGAAGAACTAAAAAAAAAAATAGAAATAAGCAGATGGAGAAAAAAAAAAGATCAATCTTGACCTTTCAGATTTTGACCTTAAAGTCAATAGGGGTCCTTTATAGGGTTAAAAATCTTGAACATGATAAATATAAAGAAATTTATTCCAAAATAGAGTTTTCTTGAACCCTTAGGGCATCAAATATTCGGAAGGCTGGTATATTTTCTTATAAACAGCCAAGGGGTCAGCCAGATGACTTCAAGACAGTCATGTCTAAAAGCCGTCATACCACATGTCCATTATTTTTCATGTAATAGCTGAATAAAAAAAGCTACAGAAGCAACCATTTTGTTCAAAAAGAGATGTTAATAAACACAAAGTAGATATGCCTTGTAGTTCTGAGAAAAGCATATATATCAGGGAACTTTTCTAACAGGCCAGGCAGGCAGACAGAGAGACATGTAGACAAAACTTAAACAGTGATTAAGTTGTGTGATAAACAAGGATTCATCTATTAACCATAATGATCATGAAAGCCTTTGAGGGTTTAAATTCATGTATATCTTACAGCAAATGAATGATGCAGTTGGCACCTATAAACAGCTAAACAATGGGAATATTATAACATTTGTAAAAGGAACACAGACATTATATAAACTTTTTTTTGCCATGAATTATGTTAACATTACTGTAAGAAAACAAAGGAAGACTTTGTTATCATTATTGTCTTGGACTCGTCACCGAATTTCATCCTTTATTGGCTTTTTGTTGTAGTTCAGGGAATTCTATTCATTATTCTAATTCAAGACAAACTATTTTTGGATAGCAATGGCTTTGCAGAATAAAGTCACGTTTCAAAATGAAGCAGCACAATTACATCTTAAGAAGATGCAAAATTTCAGGGATCCATTGCTCTTCACATACATCAATACCATTTTTTATGGGGTCTTCATCTGGCCTATTAGTGACTATGTTGGACTTTATTCTTGTTAAAAGATGATAAAGGCAACAAATAAATAGATATTTAGCTCCTAAAAACTAACCACCTACAAACTTTCTTTTAGGTAAGGAACAAGCTACAAGATTTCTGGATGACGACTTCAGACTGGGAATGGTTTACGTAACTGATATGAAAAGATTCAAGGTTAAAAATTTACAAAGTATAGTAAGCACTTCAATATTAGATTTCTCAATGGAATCAAATAGTATAAGATATATTTTTTTATTGTTTCTGGGTAAATGAGGGCATCATGAAACTCAATGCATGTATATTCTAGATAAATAAAGATCAATGTGATTTTAATGATGTCAACTTGAAAATTTTGATGTGTGAAAAAAGGAAAATATTAGTTTTGACATTCTTCTGTCTTCACCTAGAAAGCTTGCAAATAAACATTTCAGATAGTTTAAGTAAATAGATGTAAAATCAAATTTTATTTATATGAGTTATACCTTAGCTAAATAAAAATTGTCAAACATTTTTCAAAGTTATCCCAGCAGCATTTCTTTGTTGAATTGTATCGTTATTTGAATGGTGACTTAATGATATAATGTGTACCAATAATATAAACCAGTTTTGAAATACAAGTATTTTTTTTTTAATATTCAAAGGAAAGACATAAAGTGCATAACTCTACATAATCTATATTTTTTCAAAACAACCATCTAATCCACATTACCTGGTACTATCGAAAGGTAAAAACCAAAAGTCTCTGACGAGACTGTTGCTCTACTGGTTTGTACTTAAAACAGAGGAAGAGAAAAGTAGCACTTGGACTTGAAACTTTGCAACAACAAGTCATATTGAAATCAGACCAAAACTGTAAGAGGGGTAGCATTTTTAAAGTATTTCACAGAAATTTCTATTTCTAGTAACCAAGGCAACAGTGTTCATCAAAAAAAAAAACAATACACAGAATTATGTACTTAATGTCTACTTGTGTGCCAAGTTATATTGAAATCAGACCAGTAGAAGGAGTAGGGTTTTGAATGTATTTAACAGAAATTTCTATTTTTAGTCACCATGGTAACACCATTCATCGAAATCAAAAACCAATCTACAGAATTATGTATCTTAGTGTAGTTTACTTGTGTACCATGTTATATTAAAATCAGATCAAAACTGTAGGAGGAGTAGCGTTTTGAAAAATTGTTTACAGACGAACAGACAGCTAGACAGATGGATGGACGAAGGACACCTTACTGTCATATAAGCCTTTCTGGGGCCCATTTTACAAAAGAACTTATGACTAAGACCAAAAACTTAAGTTGATTGTAAAATTTTGCAAAATTGACGATTCTCTTTAAAATTACTAGCGTAAAAATATCTTACTATATTCCTTTTAAAAAGATTAGAACCATTTTAATATAATGTAAATTAAAAAGTTATAAGCAGAATTAAATTTTGGTCTTAGTCGTAATTTCTTTTGTAAAACGGCCCCCTGGTCTCTGACCATTAGAGCTAAAAATGAGGTCTTGAATAGATGTGTCATAAGCTACCATACATTGCCTGGTGTAATAGTATTTTCTAAAATTCCAATCCAGTTTTTAAGTACTATTTCAGGAAAACCCTTTTCACAATTTATGAAAATCTATAAATAGAATGGTTCAAACTCACTCTTGAATGTCATCCAGTGGTTCATAAACATCATCCTGCTCTAAGCCCTCTTCTTCCTGTGTGACAATTAATGTACAGATTAGATCTAAACACTTGACTTTGTGATACTTAGGCTATTCAAGATATTTTAACATGCTTCCTATCTCCAATTCTGTGTCACAGCCTTATCATACAAAGTTAAATTTATAAAAATGAATCTATTTAAGGAATTTTCTAACAAGTCATGCAGCAACACAGTCAACCAAGAATCACTCTTACACAATAAAACATGACCTTAATTAATTAATTCTTAATAAAGCTAATAAAAAGCCATAAGGACATATATGCACTTTTTACGATACCTGGTTAACATCATAATTTAGGATGGTGCCCATTTCACGGACAATATATCTTTTTTCTCCACAGATTTCTTTTTCCCATTAGTCAGTTTGTATTTTTTTAAAAAATGGCCACACATTTAATATCAAAGGTCATATAGAACACTTAGGATTATATCTTATAAAAATCTTTTCCTTAATTGTGCAGACAGTACCCTTGCCAAGCATACAGACAAGGATGAGTATTAATTGAGTACTTAGCATGGATAATGTATGTATCAGCTAGAACTCTAAATAAAGCTTTTTTGTTTACAGTCACTTCATCAACAGTATGCCAATTTCGCATTGCAAAAACGTAAGGTGATGCCAGACAGACTCCAACCACCTAACATCTTAAGCCTTACTTTATACTCTGCAAAGCTAGAATCTGACCCGAGCCCCCTCCCTCCTCCCCCCCCCCCCCTCAAAAATATCAGAAGAAATAGAAGAAATTACAACTTACAATCCCACCTGCTTCAGCATCTTGGTATTCTTCTTGTTCAATCTCATCTGTAAATCAAAGACAAAAATTCATGCATGTTGCAAAGTGTTTTGACAGGCATGTATACAATGCCTGAACATTTTCTGCATACTGATTAACATCATAATTTAGGATGCAGAAAATTTTATTGCAGAATCATTCTAGGTGGGGAAATTCCCCAGCCCCCGGCTCTTAGAGCCCCCGGCTCTTAGGGACAACCCTGAGACATGAAAACGATTATGTATAGTTTTCACATCATGTACCAAAAAATAATTATTTCTAAACAAAATCTTCACAAAAGATTGTTTGAGAATAAAATTTACTGTCAGCAGGTGTTGTAGGTGTGGGTGGTGGTGGTCTCCCTCTGGATGGGATTGATGGGGGTGGTGGGGGAAGGGACGAGAGGTCCACCTGAGGAGGGCTTGCAACATTGGCAGTATCAGCATATTCCTCTCCCTCATCCTCTTCATCAGAAGCCATTTCTGGTCTGGGGGTGGGAAAAATTTAGGGAATTAGTTTCATATTTACATTTCTATATCTAGAGATTAAGTTCTAATTTACTTCCTTCATATATATCTGTTTGTAAAGTTTCCCTCTTGACTTTTCAATGTTGGCACTTCAGATATAGATCTCTGTATTTGTACAATGTCTGATTTTTGAATTATGATCAAGACAGCAAAATGTATCATGATAGTTTAGAACAGTCATAGGCCATTTTATACATACATGAGGGAGACAACCTTTGAGGCTCTTCCCTGTTGGGTAGTTACGGGCCTCCTTGATACTGGTTCCTCGGGTAGTTCCTCATAAAGTTCATCCACCTCAAGCTCCTCCTCTTGTTCTGGGGGTGAGTCAGGTTTGTCCTCTAAAAGATTAAATTTAATCATGAGGTTGAAAAATGTGAAGGTGGTACATTTATAGACATTTTTAGATTCCCTGTACAGCTACCCAATGCTAATGTTATACAGTGAAACTTGTCTAATCTGGATGTTGTGTATTCCGAAATCTTGCTTAATAGGATCTAACATTAAAGTCCAATTTAGTAAATTCAACTGTTTAAAATGTCTAATCTGGAATGCTGTCTTAAACCCGGCCAATTTTTTGGAACAATTGGTATCTGGATTAGACAAGTTTTACTGAACATTCCTTGTTCTGGTTTTTATAAAATCTGGGAAAGTTCTTTACACATGTTCATCATCTCCATTCTATCTCAAATGCATGTATATCTTATTGCAAAAATTAGTCTTAGATGATGCACTGTGACTACTGTTAATCAAATTTCATTTATTTAAACACACAAAAACACACACACACACAGTGAGTTTTTTTTTTGTGCTCTTGTTTCCAAACAACTATCATGATTTCTCCATCATTGTGAACACTGTAACAGGAAAGTAAAAAAAAGTTTGCTCACAGTTGTAACAGGAAAGGAGAAAATTTATGGCTGGACTGGGTATTGAACCTGGGACCCCTGCATTAATAGTCAGGTATTCTGAGCTATCCGGCTGATATCCACAGTTTATACAGTCACTACATTCCTCCCTCCTGAAATTGTCTTTGTCCTCAAAGACACACAACCCAGATTCTTACGCCCCAGACAGGGCTTTCGCCTGCAAGTGGTCAATGATAAAATAGGAAATGAAAAAATTTATGACTGGGCCTGGAAACAAACCTAGGACCCCTGTTATTAGTCAGGTGCTCTAACCCACAGGTACTTGTGGACAGGAACCCCCCCCCCCCCCCCCATATTTAACCCTGAGGCTTGTTGGACATTTTTTTCACAAATTATATTTATTGCACTTATTTATCATGTGTACCATAAGAATAAATCGTGAAAACCCCAAAATAATCGTTCCACACAAAAATACCCCACAATACATTATAAGAGAGAAAGGTATGCCACTCTCTACCTTTCTCTCTTATAATGTATAGTGGGGTATTTTTGTGTGGAATGATTATTTCGGGGTTTTCACGATTTATTCCTATGGTACACATGATAAATAAGTGCAATAAATATAATTTGTGAAAAAAATGTCCAACAAGCCTCAGGGTTGAATATCGGGAGGGGGGGGGGGGTTGTTGTTCCTGTCCACAAGTACCTGTGAGCTATACAGGCCAATACCCATGGTCTACAGATCTGAAAACTTCAGTTAATCTTTATTCTACATGATGCCCATGAACCTATGTCCTTTTACTAATAGCTAGGTACTCTAGTTTCTTATTATTGATGGGAGTGAAGGGTTTGTTTATTTAAATGTCTAATGAAATCAATGACCCTGTCCTAAAAAGATGACAGCCAATACTATACACAGATGTACATACATTGGTGGTGGCAGGCATCATAAATTAAGAGATGCTTCAATACTAACTTATTGTTTTCCACTTGACAAAAGACAATTGGTTATTGTTAGTCTGTTACTAAAAATAATATATATCCCAATAAAAAAGTTCTTAAAAAATGTCTATAACTCATCTTTTTATAAATCTATTTTGACCAGAATGTAGGAGTACTGTTTGTCTCCAATTTCCAATGCCTGTGTATTCTAACACCTATGATGTTTATAACTAAGCCATGAATGCAGTATAAACTACATATATTGCCATACTTAAGTTGGCAGGTAATCTAGTCTGAAGCAAATATTTGCCAAGTTGTGATAGCAAGTCATGCAGTTGATTTAACAATTTAGAGAAGTAATAAAAACTTGCAAAGTTGAATTAAAACAAACAGAAAGAGTCTGATCAAAAATCTCAATTGAACTAAGATCACAAAAAAATGCACTGTCATCTCTGTTTCAATAAAATCTGTTTAAGGACACTTGAGCACACACAGCCATCCCTCTACAACATAGAGTGTCAATGACACATGTATTAATTCATTTCAATTTGTCTCTATCACACTTCTAGAACAAGTGTTATTAAGTTACAGAGTAAAGCCCTCAAGTGATCAGGGCTAAAAATGCCAGAGCTAAATACTTATGAATGATTAAAATCATAATATTATGCAAAGGGTGTCATCTTTGCAAGTGAGTTAAGGCTAAGTATGGGTGTTTCTATGCAAATAAGTTAATCAAAACACTTCCTTTTATTCCTTTTTTAAAACACTTTTTAATCTTACACATACTTGGTACATGTAACCACTACTAATACACATTATGACATCATATTACGATATTTATTGATCTTTACTACTCAAGGTAAAGAACGTTGATCAACAAAAACAGCTTTTGCACACGGGCAAATCTTAATTTGTTTTTAACTTGTAAGAAGAAGGCTATCAAAAGTTAGTATCATGATTATACCTCATGGTTATCTTACTTATTGCTGCTCTTTTGCAATAAAGTCAAAAAAGCTCTAAATCTCACATCATTTTAAGGGTATAAAATATTGTTTATGTTAGTGACTATCAAATATCATATTCAAACAATGAGTATCCCCAAGTACAATGTATTACTAATGGTTCCACTTCAGAAAGTAAGTTGTCTTATTGGGAATGTATAGACTTCCTAAAGTAATATTTACCAGAAAGAAATGGTTGAATATTCATCATCATCAGAGTTGGCTTAATGGAAAATACATGTATCTACAAAACTGTAAGATAAGAGAACTAGCATCTCTTAAATTTTATCAGAGTGGTGCACCAAACATTTAGCAAAATGTTTTACCAAGTCTTCTTTCTTATATGTCTTTTAAAAATCTACAGTGATTGATCTCAATTAGAGTTGTATCAGGAGAGGAGAAAAATGCGACGGACCAGGCCCAGGCTCAAATCCAGGTCTGATCCATCGCATTTTTCTCCTCTCCTGTTACATTTGGTCCCATGCCATGCCCTGGAAGTGACAGGTGAAAGACCTGCCAGGGAAGAGCCTGAGTTGGTGTCTTCAGGGGCTGAAGACCTTTAAAGAAGGAGGGATGTGGCGATCAGATGAGTTCGATCGCCAGTGGCCAGATAGTTCAGTTGGTAGTGCACCTGACTGGAGATTCAGGGGGCCCGAGTTCGAATCCTAGTCTGGTAAGTCACCTTTTTCTTCTGTCCTGTTACCGTGTATTAAACAGCACATTGCCTCCAGCTATTGGACGTTTCCTACCTCCACCGCAAAAGAGTTCTGTTAAGTTCAATCACGATATCAAGTACTTAGTATTGCTGTACACATCCCTAGTATCATCTCTTTTGATCAGAAAATAAAGAGTTTAAACATTCATGCCTTTAATTACCTAACTCCTAGCCTTAACTCATTTGCATTCCTGTTTAACAAAATGGTAGAAAACCTAAATATGAAGCAATGAATTGTACTACAAAGGTCATATCATTTTAGAAAACTCTATTTTTTAAATTGATGAACAATCAAAACAGGAGAAAGTTATAAAATCTTGAAGTCTGAAGATGATTGTACATATAATAACGGTAGTAAATCCACTGATCATTGCTAGTAATTCACAGGAGAACTGAGTTGATTTAACAAAAGAAGGCAAACATACTACCATGAGTCATTAGCATGACACAATTTAAGATGTATTATGTATAACATTTTATGTGAACAGGGAAGTCCTCCGCTCAAATGAAACTGACAAGTCATTGTACATGAAACGTTAAGTGTGCAAGTCTATCTTGTTACAGTGTGTGTCAGACAAATCTATTGTGTATGATGAGCTTCTTAATACATGTATTCCAAACAAAAACACTTTCCATTTTTATAAAATAAAAGATATATGATGTTTAAGCCTCAAACATGTGCTTGTCACATATCTCTTGTCAGATAAGACTGGTAAGTGGATGTCATTGAGATGGAAGTTGCAACCACTTTTTCTAAATATGTGTCTTATAGATTTCATCAGATTCTCTCTGAAGTTTTTCCTCTGTCCTACGGAGTTTGGAATAATGAGATTTGACTGTACTCATACATTTTAGGAGTATCAATTATCAATTAATTTGTACATGTATGATCTACAGCACCATGAAACATTCTAGCACAAACTTATATTGAACAATATGAGGGTGCTTGCTATTAATTGCATGACAAACTATAGTTTTGTTTTTCCCTAGAAGGAGGTTCAGACATTTTCTGATAAAAATTGTTCTCCTGCTGTAGACTTAATTTCAGCTTATCTGAATCCATGTTACAAGGGATGTATACTTATCAGATATTTAGTTGCCTTGCTGCTCTGCAGAAAAAAAAAATAAATTTTTTTCAAATTCTCTGCTAGTACTTTACCTGAAGTAGTATTAAGTCTGGATTTATAATCCTCCACAATACTGTCTATATTAATGACACCAAGTAATTTTGTAGGTTTGGGAGGAGGGTTTCCATCCACTTCTACAGTCTTTATATCTACGGCGTAAAACTTTTTTTGATCAAATTGCCGTGTTATAGATTTCCGAACTATTGATTTCTTAGTTTTTAAGTGTCTTAGCACAGGTGGTGGTTCATCCGACTTTTCAGTACTGCTCGATCTCTTCAGTCCTCCTATAACTTTGTTTAATTCAGATTGATTTGCCAGGAAAGGACTGCTTTTAAGTCTACTTACGGGAGGGGGTTTGTTTTCATCTTTTGGCACAGGTTCTATATTTGCTTTCCAAGGAGGAACATTTGAATCTGTTTTATTTGCCTCTGGTTTGCTCAATGGCTCCGGCTTGTTTTGGAGATTTTTCTGTTTCCACAGTGGCAAGGGTTTTTCTTCTGTCACACTATTAGTTTCAGCAGATGATTTTTTACTTTCCAGCTGAGCTTTCCATGGTGGAACATTATCACTTTTGTTAGAAGTATTTTCTTCATCCTTTTGGTCTATAGAAGCTCTAGCCTTCCATGGAGGCACCGGTTTTTCAGGATCTGGTTCTTTTTTGGCTGCTTTCCAAGGTGGTGGAGGTTTTTCAGATTCAACTGGTTTTCCTGCTTTCCAAGGTGGAACTGGTTTATCTGAATCTGGTTTTGATGCCTTTGGTGGAGTAGCTGGTTTATTGGTTGTCTCACCTTTATTTTCCAAGTCTCTTGCTAAAAATGGATTCAAAGGTTTTGACTTTGAGGTTTCAGAGTTTTCAGAGTTTGTAACATCCCCATTTTCATGTGCTCTGTTCTCTGCATTTTTAATGGTCCTGAGAATCGTTGCCACACTTCCTTCTTTGTCGGTTGGAAGCCTAGCTGGTTTTAATGCCGGTTTCGGAGTAAAACTAGGTTTGATATCCTCTACAGGATTTGTCACAACTTTCTTAATTGGAATTGGAGGTCTATTCATGGCTGGTTCTTGCTTGTCTGCCAAGAAGGCAGCAGGAATGTTCAGTCTACTATTTCTCTTGTTTATGCCCGCATTTGCACTGTGTACTGTTGCAGCATTGCTGCTACTGGAAGTATATCCTGGTTGTGTTCTGCCTACATTACTCTCAGGCTTTTCCTGAAGTGTAGATCTACTCCCAGTTCTCTGTACTTTATTTACATCCTGTTAATTTAAAAAAAAAAGATTAATAACACTATGTATGTTTCATATTATGACATATATAAGGAAATGTCTTCTTTCGGTACTGAATAATTTTCAAAAAAAAAAAGACTAATTCAGAAACAAATATATATATGAGGTTTATTCATGTTGCCTCAGAGTTGAAGGTAGATGTACAACTTGTGGCAGTCTGGTATCATTTATTATAAGTATACATGTATATAAAATAAGCAAAAAGATTTGTAAAGTCGGTGGCATTTTTATGTAAAAAAAACAACTGTTCTCCAATATGATCAGCATAAAATAAGGAGACGATAAACTTTTTGAGGTTAAAAAACACATTTATTGTGCATACTAAAATTCAGATACAAGAAAAAAACAAAACATTATCATATTGGTATGTTGCATGGCAAATGTCAGCCAGGGGTTTGCTTAGAAGGTCTTGAAATGAAGGGGTGGGTACCTTGACCTTTGACCTTGAAAATTAGTACAGTAATATTTTATGCTTAGAAGGTCTTGAAATGAAGGGGTGGGTACCTTGAGCTTTGACCTTGAAAATTAGTAATATTTTTCATTGTGCCTTAATAAGACTTTGAATTTAGATGCCAGAGTGTACAAGTCTGAAATATGGGGAAAAAAGTGCACTTATTTCAAATGCAATTTTTTTTCATAAATAGTTATCATATAATATTCTTGATCTTCTGTTCAAGGAAGTTTTTAAATTTTCAGATCCACCTTGTGTGTTATCAACAACCAATAAATAAAGGTTCACAAAAAAAAAGATGTCCTTGTGTACATCTTAGTTCTAATTTAGGTTTCAAATGACCAAATGTTCATATTGGATACATGTATTTATAACATACACCGTTTTGTTTCCCTTGGTATATTTCAAACATGAATGACCTTAACAATAGTCTTTGTATCAGAATGCATGTTACATTTCTCTGGTTTTCTTTTTTATGGTAAGCATGCACGAAAAATGTTATTTTTTGTGACAACTATTGATAGATGAGAATTATATGCCATTGAACCAAATACTACATGTGATCACAGTATATATATATGTATCATATTCCATTTAGACTTGTAATTATGGCACAAACTCTTACAAATACAATGTACACACATATTTCAGGACATATCGAACCAAATGTAAAGGAAAAATGTTTATTTTTAATACTTGTACTATTTTAAAGTTAACAAAGTGCCACTTAGTTACCTAGTGGGCCCTCCCCCTCCCTTTTAGCAAAAAAATCTTTTCATATAGAAAACATGCTTTTTGACCTAAAAAGATGAAATGCAAATATCCAACTTAAATTTTCTTTGAAATCTAGACAATAATGTTTCTCCTCCTTCAAGTTATTTCAGGCTTTACAGTCATTCTTTTTTTATCTGTGTACTTTTAAAAAAAACAGCTAGGAAGTTAAATTTTACTTATCCCTCAGTGGCTTCGTTAAATACTTCCTGCCTCTGAATATATATCTACATGTGATGTCTTCAAAGTGGACTATAACATATTAATCACCAAATTATGTCCTTTGGTTACACATATTTCTTAATTAATCAAACAACTGATTCTCAAAAAATAAAAGTCCAAATTTGCTTAAAAGAGAATTAAGAGCACTAAGCGCATCTTTCAAATTCAGATGATTAAGGATCAAAATCTTTTCTGATCCATTAGATATTTTCTTCCTGTCTGCACACATCATTCAATGATATATACTTCACAATGACACTTGTTTGTCCACTTCAGTGTGTACTGATTTGCAGCAGAGAAGTAAAAGTGTCCAGAATATGTGCAATGAATATGTGAATTCCCATGATTTTAACTATATACTAGTATAAACATGGAAATTTACATGTGGGGTAATTTAATTATGCTGATTTAAAGATAAAAACGCTTTTGCGTAAATATCACCCCAATGCCTTTAGTAATATCTTACTCAGTTTTAACAACCCATACAGAAAAAAAGTTAATATTAACTAAATTATAACTTTTGTAACTAAAGAAAAAAAAGGCTCAAAAAAGTTGTAAATAAGTTTTTAGAGTTTGGAACCACTTCTTTAAAGTTTATAAGTATAATTTGGTTTTAAATTAGGTACAAAAAAGTTATAACTCATGTATAAGTTATCTTCTTTTATTTCAACATTATATGTATTAATACATAATCCCAGTATAACAGAAATAACACCAACTTATAATGCGCTTGCCACTGATTCACATAATTAACAACACGTACTAAATATTCATGTTTACAGTATATTAATGAATATTCAGTCTCAAATTTTTTTTTTACATCAGAGAACCCAATTTCTTTTTTTCTTGAGAGTTCTAGTTAATTTACTGATGTTAAACTACTATAATATCTGCCAACCTTTAAAAATGTACATCTCTGGATCTCTCCTGCTGTTCATAATGTTTATGGTTTCTTGATCATGGAATAGTTACAGAGGGGGACAAATGCCATGACTGGATAGGAATAAATACCTTAGGACCATCCTGCAGTTCATGCAAATGTTTACCGAGTGTCTTTTCTTATTTATTTTGGTTGAGATTGAATGCATTCTCGAGAAGATGCACATTCACAAAATTTATCTGACAGATATTTTGGTTACCTGAGTTGTTCAGAGTATAGGCATATACAAAACTGCAGCTTAAATATTTAAGAAATAATTCCCGCGTTGGAGGAATTGTTGAAGAATATACCCCAATAGTCGAGAGATTTTATTTGCCAACAAAATCTCGAGACTGGCAGAGGGGTATATTCTCCAACAATTCAGACCATGAGGGAATTATTTCTATTCTACTACGGCGAATATTAAAACTTACATAAAGAGAAATACAGAAGCTACATTTGGACGTCTCCATGATAAGTGTCTTATGACGTCACAATTGAATGTTATTCTCGTTCATTTGTATCTCAAGGCTTAGAAAAAGTACGATGAAATCCGAACTCAATGTAAATGTTTTCCCACCAATTTGCATCACAATCAAAAGATACCTCTATCCTTTTCCTAGTGAAGGCAGTAAAAATTAGAGGAAACCGATTCAAATTGTCGATAATTTGTTGATGACGTTCGTGGTTTATTGGAGAATAATGACCGCGGCATCTCTTTGATCTTTGCAATAACCATAGTAGAATTGATAACAATGCCTGACCACAATATGAAGTGCTTAGGTCAGTCAAGTATATTGAAAAATTCTGAGGAACTTATTTTTTCTTCCATATTTTTCTGATCATTTGTCTTATTTAGACAACTAAAAAAATACAAGGAATTCTCAATCTTTTTTAAATTATCTGCTATGATTGCATTAGACTTTTTTTTTCATTGCAAAGGAATTTATTTTGTGGACAGAAAAATTCAGTTTATACAAAGAAGTGAAATTCTCTGAGGGGTCCACTACTCATGTAAAATAAAACACACTTATAGGGAATACGTTTATAATGAATTGATGCTTACAGCAAAGTGATTTTCATTCGTGGCTTTAAAATTAAAATACAGTAAAATTTGTCCAAACCGGCTACCCCCGGTTCCATAAAATTTGGCCGGATTAGACAGAATCCGGAGTGCAGGAAAAATGCAGGAAAATATTTGAAATTTAATTTCGTTGTTTTATTTAAGAGTATAATATATAATATATATAAGTAAATTATCAAATCAATCAATATTTTAGAGTCTAGAAATTAAAAGAGCATTGCATGACTTACTGTAGATTTTTCTTTTTTGTTCACAAAGTTTGGGACTTAATGTGAAATGTTACCGGAGTCAAAATCTACAGACTCGTATATTATAATATATATCATGCGGCCCGGGTTTTGCATGTCAAAGAGCACATTCAATATAACTATAAACACAACTATTTACGATTTGATAAATATTGAATTGAAATTTTAATTTTTATGTAAAAATTTACGTCTTCCCTCCAATGTAATGGCGCCATTTTGGAATGAGACGTTTGGGTTTCGATCCTGATTTATATTTTGATTTGCAAATCGTGTACCTATATTGTATTAATTTTTTATTATACTGTGTGATATGGAGTTAAAAGCAAGTTAAATGTGTGAGTAATTTTATTTTAATTTACTTGTAATTTAATCTTATATTTTAAGTGGGCTGTGTCACCGCCGCATTTCAGTTTGTCTCATGGCACTCATGTAAACACACGTTAGCACATCTTCACGAATGGTGTTAATTGCTTTGAAGTAACTCAGGTTATTATGGGTGGCCTGATTAGAGGAAATAATTACCGTTAATTATGAGCAGTTGGGGCCAGTATGGCAGTTCGGAATACAGAATGGACAGTATCCGGTCTACACAGAATTTTTTTCTAATACATTTGTTTAAAAAGTGCATGGGACTAAATTTATAGCCGGAATGGACAAAAATCTGGAGTACTCAGAGTCCGGATTAGACAAATTTTACTATATATTGTGAACTTAATGGACACACAAATTATGTTTATAACGATCGAAGCAAAATCATCCATCCCTGACACTTTGTTATAAGCATGTTCTACTGTATATACCTGCAGATCTTTGCATTTTTTCCCACTGATATGTCAAAGCAATGAACACTTATTTAGAAAAGTGGAGATCATTTGTATATTATTGTTTATGAGACTGAGATCTATTACAACATTGATACTCGTGTGAAATTCTCCATCAAGTTGCATTGATTTCAAAAGTCCAACTACATAGTATAAATGCACATGCAGACAAAGGTTCAAGTTGATCTCTATAATATAATCATGATTTACTTTTCATTTCAGTCTGCATATAGTGCCAGTGTCAGAGATATGGACATGATCTAGGGGGTCTCCGTTAGAAACCCACTGTTAATTAGTGTCATCAAATTTAATAATGTTTTGTATCATTTTTTCCCTCTTTTTATTAAAAATGAAAAAAAAAACTGCCAACATTTTTTACGTTGTGATATTTTTTTTCTACTCACTGTCTTCCAGACTTCATTCATTCTGGAGGTTTTCTCTTAATTAACTCTTTTAAGTAAAATTTTAGACAGTATATCTTTACATGCGACGAATACAACTTAGTACTACATTTAATCAGGTATTCCAATCCTATATACAACATTAACATGTAACATCAGATGCAACGATACAGCATGTTACGGACTTGTACATCTTGTACACAGGTCATACACCATGTACATTGGAATTTATAATTTACGCTATTGACATGTGACAGCCTTTGAAATGTCAAATTTTTTTTTTAGAAAAATGAAGAGAAAACTATATATTGTTCTTACCACAGAGATTCCTTACGATGCAATAACCGTTTCTTCCTTGATATAACACTACAGAGGAGCTTTAACTTCCTTGTTTATATATGACACGACATGATTAACTCACCGGAAAGTCGCCTGAATGGAGGCGTAGTCGAAAATCTGGACTAGTGTTTATAAATCTGTAGACATTGTAAAACATGGGCGTAATTACAAAGCCCAGTAAAAAAAAAAAATACACGAAGCGTATTAAATAAATTAAAAGAATACATCGATGCCCACTGTCGGATGTCAATATTCGGATAAATTCCAGCCCAGCTTACTTCGTATTCTATTTAGGGAATTGGACAGGCTTTCTGATTCAGGATTCGGTGAAGAGTTAAACAAGACAATATAAGATAAGCCAATATAATCGCATTGCATGGTCATTTCACAATAAATCTATCAAACGGATAGCATGCAATATTATAAATACACGTATCTTTTTTCCTTATATATGTTCATATATGCATATAAAGTGTCTGCTTTAAACATCAAATGTTAAGTTTCTATATCATTTTTATGCTTTGGGTAAGCCCCCCCCCCCCCCCCCCGCGAAATCGCGCAGCCAGATAACGTACTTTGTAGAAGGGCTCAGTATCCAAACAACAAAGAGAGAGAATTCAGACCATCTTTAAAAAGACAGTCTATCTCCCGACAGACTGACAAAAAACTACCCGTCTCAAAACTTTTTCTAAAACACCCAAACTCGAAAAGATCTTTTTTTTAAATTCACTCCCTATCTCCAAATGAATTAATACTTTCAAATTCAAAAATTTTTGAAAATTAAGCACTGAAGTTTAAAATTCCGGGGTTTTTTAAAAAAAAAATCTATCTACCCATTTTTTTTTATCCGAGCCGAGAGAGGACAGGCAAAGAGAGAGAACTCTATAATATTAATAAAACTTTTGCTAAAAAAAAATGAAAAAAAGTAAAAAAAAAAAAAAAAAAAAAAAAAAAAAAAAAAAAAAATTCAAAAGGACCTCCTCGACAGTCCTCGTTAAACAAAAATAACCTTTCAAAGGTGTCCTTTACAAAAACTTTGATACATTTTAATTTTTATGCAAAATTTGTATATGACAATTAATTTCCATATTACATAAAGTATTTCAAATGAGACAACTATAAAAATTTAAAGGTAGATTCTGGCAATTTAAGAATAATTTCACTAAGTTAAACATATTGTTGCTATTTATACATGTATTTACCATTGCTGATCAATAATAAAGTCTCTGAATAAAAAAGGACCAATTGTTTATACGTTTTAAAAAAATTATCGGCGACCAGTCCTCAAACAAATCCAAAGGAAATGTAGATTAAGTATCAATATATCACACTTACTAAATAATCTTTGGTTAATCTTTCTGAATGAGAGAAGAAAGGGCTTTCATATTAACATTCATTACCTGTGACAATATCTTTTGATTTTTGACCTCATTACCTAGACCTCAAAGTTTGACTTTCAAAAACTAAGATAACCTTGGTCGTTAACTTTTGCATCAGAACATATTATTTCAGAAATATACCAAACTTTTTGTTCTCAATATGATAGACAAGACCGGACAGACAAGACAGTTACAACATGCAATAGAACAGGATCCCAATGAGCAAGACACCGAAAGCGGCGGACCGTAAGTTTTTTTAATACCTCCCCCCCCACTTGAAAAGAGGGGGGGGGGGTGTATGGTGATAGGGGTGTCCGTCCGTTACGCTTTGGGCTACCCATCTCTTATCCGCAACTCCTCTTATACCACTGAATAAAATCTGACGAGATTTTCATAGAACCTTTGTTACTATTGTGCACCTCCTATTTTACTTTTTTCGGGTTTACAATATAGCAAAACATAGACACTGACACTCTTTCTATGACATTGGGGGGTACCCATCTTTTATCCGCAACTCCTCATCTACTACTGAAGAAAATTTAATGATACGTTCACAGAATCTTTATTACAGTTGCCATTACACTGTTTTATCATATAGGAGACGGGGGTATCAATTTGTGAGCTCAATGCTCACGATACCTCTATTTTTTTTTTTTTTTTTAATTTATATGGTTTTTCTTTGGATTTCAATATTTACTTCAATGCAGTGAATGCAAAAATATGCAACATGACAACAGTTTAAAGGGCCTTTAATGAAAATTACAACTGTTGAATTCGCGACCCAGTAATGCAAGAGTGATCAGTTTGTTTGTTTGTTTGTTGTTGTTTTTTTTTTTTAAATCTCTTTCATATTTCAAATATTTTCTTTTAGATAAGATGGTACATTTAGGACATGCAAATATATCTATTTATTCTTTCTCATGTTGAAAAATATTAATAAATGTTCACACAAGATACGTGTAGTATGTCATTTACGTGACTCATTATCTCGTTCGCACGACTTATCTCCTTCAAACAAGAAATTATAGATAATGTTTAATCTTTCCCCATATATTTCCTTGTAAAATTTTGATCTCCTCAAAAATATATAATTTTCCCAAAGAATTTGTCATTGAAGTTTGCATAAAAATATACACTTTTTGGTTTACAAAAACATGGAGCAAAGGACCACTATACCTTAAAAGTACACTTCTATGACAAAGCATTCGCATCTTTCCGAGAAATACTTGAAGTCCATTAAGTCAAGAGTCATATCACAAACATGATTTAAATGCCACTATTCATCAGGAGCTGTGTAGTGTAGTGGTTAGAGTGTTAGTCTCAAAGCAATATGATACTTCGGATTTTTATTTTAGGGGTTCGAATCCCACGAATACCATATTATTTTTTTTAAATAAAAGAATATTTTTTTCCAATAATGAGAACGTTACTTTAAATACTTAATTCACAAATTGAATATGATTTTTTAATATCTGAAGCTATAGGCACTCTGCACGCCTTGTTCACCCATCTTCTTTAGAAATCACAAGAGAATGACAATATGAATAATTGTTGATATAATATCAAGGTATATAAAACATATATTTGAGGAACGTGTCGTCTGACCTTAATATGGCCTGACCCAATCTCTGGGGTTCAAGATATGAGCAAACTTGAATCTACATTTTGTCAGGAAGCATTTAAGTTTCATCCTTTCTGGGAAGATTTTTGAAACATTTTTTTCCTTTATGTACTTCCATATAAAAAATTTATCCCTCAGTGGGGCCTCATCCTACCTCCGGGGTCATGATTTGATTAAACTTAAAACTACTGATGTCAGTAAGCTTTCATATAAGTTTCATCTTTTCCGGCCCAGCGGATTTTGAGCAAAAGATATACGCTGTATAAAACTTGTTTTTTCTATATATTATATTCCCATGTAAACATTTGATCCCCTATTTTGGTCCTACCCTACCTTACCCTCGGTGCCAGGATTTGAACAATCTTGAATTTGCACTACCTAAGGATGTTTGCATATTACTATCACTAATCATTGTCATGCTGTTCTAGAGTAAAAGATGTTTAAGCATCTTTTTTTCTATCTATTTTAAACATAAAAATTTAATCCCTTAAGACTTACTGTGGCCCCAACCTATCCCCAGGGGGCCATGATTGACTAAATTTGAATTTACACAATGTCAGAAAGCTGTCTAGTAAGTTCCATCTTTTGTGGCCGACTGGATATTGAGAAGTTTTTAAAATGACCCCAAAATTTCATTATTCCTTAACTCCCCTTTGAGATCTAGAGAGGGAATGGCCTTTTCATTTTCAACAAAATTGAACCTCCTTTACCCAAGGATGCTTTGTGGCAAGTTTCGTTGAAAATTTTCAAGTGGTTCTGGTGGAGAAGAAAAGTCTACGGACGACACACAAAAGACAGAGGGACGCCGGACACTCTTCGATCAGAAAAGCTCACTTGAGCGTTAGCTCAGGTGAGCTAAATATACATGTAATATCTTATTCGATCGATATAAGACGTCGTGCGAACGACTATATCTCGATCGAACACGATAAGCCATGCGAACATTGTAAGTCGTGCAAACGAAATATGTCATGCTAACGAGAAAATATCTATTTGAACGACAAAATAAGTTGAGCGAACAACATATTTTCCATCATAAGAAGAAAAAATATTTGCATGTCCTAAATATACCACCATACGGCACAGCAAACAGAAGATTTAAAAGATACAACAAAAAAAATTAATTTCAGGACATGAATGAGTTCAATCAGGTGCTTTCTAAACTCAGTCTTGTATCAGCTCATCGCAGAAAATTCAGGTATTTCTTTTCTCAGGAAACTTTTAACTAAATAGATCTAAAGTAAATTTACGGTATGTTGACTCCTTTGACAAAGGATATTTTTACAAATATTTACTCTGCGTATTTTGCGACTTTGTGTATATGTACAACTACCAAAGTAAATGGAATTGTCTTTAATTTCGTGTTTTTTTTTCTCCCTCTTTGAGCCTTTTACCATTGAATTCATATAATATAAATTCCGTTTGGTAAAAACCTGTCTGCAGCGCCAATGGTCGTGTAATTATTGACAATTAATTGCATATAACAACAGCGACAACATTTTATCCTCTACGTTTTCCTAAGTGATGGCTTCCTGCTGGCTGGTTCGGAGCTCATTAAAAACAAAATGTCTCCTTAACGCAGACAATTTTACACATATACACACCTCGTACTAGCATGGCTAAACCATTCAGGGTAGAAATTTCAGGTCATAAGATGTTGTGTTTTGTTTTGTAAAAGTGGCTAAGTATATATTTTCTTATACCTTAACTTGCTCGTTTGCTATGCTAGTAATTTATAGTCAATTTCAAAAGGTAATCCTCTGTCATAACAACATTGTGTCAGATTAAAGACCAGAGATTTCTAATACTCTGAGAAATCTGACAATTAGTGTTTGATTTTCACTTAACCATGCAAAATTTAAGTCACTGAAAAACGGGGGTCATACACATGTATTAATAAAATATTTTTATACCTTACAGCTAAGAAACATCAGTCATTTACACGTGTGAAGCATTGTTTTAAAGCTACCACATATTGTATAGACAGGCGAGATAAATTTCGAGATCAGACCCAAGATTGTTTATATAACTTCCGCGATACTCACCATTCTGTAAAAATCCGACAGGAAAAGCTAAGTTTTATCTGAGTTCACCATAATATCACTCTGTTCTCGGAGAAACGAAATATGATTCCCAGGAGCCACCAGAATTCGGCAACAATTTTACTTCCTCTTTCGCTTCTTTATCTGATATAATCACAGGTGCGTGTCTCTCGTTCGGAGTGTATATAAAAATATTAATTGAAAGAGATAATTTCATACACCACTTTAAAGTGCCAAGCCCTTCAACTGCCTAATCATATTGCAGCTTGATGTTGTAGTACTCTATTAATATAATACAAGTACTTGAGGAATTCGAATCTACTATATATATCGTACGTCAAATAGCGTAGTGGCCAAAGGTTCCCTCATAAATCATTTTGATAAGAAAATATTTATAACTTGAAATTTACGAACAGGTTTCGTCAAATATAATTTCACTCTGCAGAGGACCCACGAACTTGAGAGTGCATTTAGGTGTATTTTGTGTCGCTCTAGAGGAATAGGAGAAACTAAGCATTTAGACGATGAGAAATGTAATTAAGCTTCCATTTACAGCTATTTACTCAAGAATGTTATTCAAGGAATAAGAGTATCATCATCTGGTGTTTGTTATCGGATCTTTTCCTCGAGTTAAATATTGCAAGAACACAACACAGTAAACTTTAGTTTTATTTTCCATGACGTTGCACATTCTTAGACTGGGTTCTGGAGAGACGTGAGGACCACTTAAACCTTAGCATACGGGGGCGACTTGTTTTGGAATTCTGACACTGGTTCCGTCATGTACCAATTTACGCACGCAAAAGGAAGAACTGCAAAAATATATGAACTCTGATAAATTGAAAAAAAATCTTTACCGTACTACATATATTTCGATTATCTTTGTCAGCCGATAGATTCTTCCCAATGTTACTCACGTACCCATAATTATTTAGCAAAATGTTCGCATTCACAGTACCAGTATAGTTACGTACAATTAAAATTCGTTTCCTATTATAGGGAGAAGTTTTCAGAAGTCCCAGAAATCGTCATAATTAATAGATTTAACAACGGTCGAAAGTATAATTGTCACTTATAAACACATTACACATGTAAACGTTCCTGAATTAATAAGTTAAAATTCAGTGAATCTATGACCTCCGCACACTTAAGAACGTTTATTCAAGGTATTTAAAAATAAATTGTACCAATATACATGTACAAATCTGTGATTTTACTTTTGACCCTTTCACCTTAAAATCAATAACTATAGACAGTACTAAACTGAATCTGGATTTGATTTTATTCATTAATTTGTGATCTTGAACTTTCATCTTTTGACCTCAAAATCAATGGCCCTTTCCTATAATTTTTTATCTTAATTCAAGATGGGTTTTTTTAAGTCATAAGAGGTTACGTTATAAAATTTCATTGCAAATGCTAAAGACTTTAAGACATATCTTCCGAAAAGTAACATGTACTATTTATGCCAAATAAGAATTTGTGACCTTGATCTTTCTTGATCTTTTGACCCCAGAATCAATAGGGATCTTTCTTAAGTACGAAAGAGTCATCACATTAAGTTTCATTGCAAAAGCTGAAAAGGAACTAAAGTTATCGTTTGAAAATCATTTTATGCAACGGCAAATGTCTCCTTTGATGAAGAATTATGGCTTTATAAGTGACTGATCTAGCACATATATTTTTTTTTAAATATTCAGGCTCTGAATTTAAATAAAAAGAAATTAAAGTACTTCCACTAAGAACATATAACCAAAAAAGGTACTATATAGCATTTGAAATAACATATCATACCTGATGCCCAGTTCTCCTGACATAACAGACACGGACAAAACATTAATATCATCAGCGCCAGCTCCCCAACCAAACCAGCCTCCTTTCTTTTTCTTATAGAGTACGTCTACAGACATCACTTCTCCGACCTCGGAAGGCACCGCCACAACTTTTGTGGATACACCATTCGTCTTCAGGTGAGCATCTTTCCTACGGAATAATAAAATGATATTAAATTAAGGGACAACATCATCAACAAGGCAGAAATCTTGTATGAGACTATAGCTCTGCTACTTTATACTTGTAATAGTGGGGGGGGGGGGGATGGACATGGACTTGAATTACTCTTTTTTTTTATAGGTAGTTTAACGTTCACAAGTAATGTAGCCTTGTGTTTTCTAAACTTGTACCAAGTTTTACTGAAATCAAACTAAAACTGTAAGAGGAGTAGAATTTTGAATGATTTTCTCGAATTATTCTTGTAGTTACCATAGCAAAACCGTTTATTGAAATTAAAAAAAGAATCATCTGCCTTGATGTAGTCTACTTGGGTACCAAGTCTTACTACTGTAGGAGGTGTAATGATTTGAATGTTTTTCACAGAAATTTCTTTTTTTAGTAACTTTGCAACACCATTTATTGAAATCAAAACGACGAAAGAAGAATGGGTTATGTGTAGATGTATGCCAAGTTTAATTGAAATTGGACTAAAACTACTCAGTATATAGGAGGATGGTAGTTTTGAAAATTGTCCACAGACAGACAGAGGACGGACACCTTATTATCGCCTTTAGGCTTAAAAGTATCTAACCTTCAACATGTCAAGTAAAATCAAAAAGGACAATAAATAGATAGAGAAATAAAAGTTATTTCGTATGACTGTCCTTGAATTTGAAAAAAAAGTTAAATTAGAAGCTACAGAACCTACTCCGTAAGGGCGATGGAATGACTGCTACCAAATGCCCCGTTCAGTGTGATAGAGAGAGTACCATACGTGTCTGTTGTCCCAAGATCATATTTAATTACATAGTGAAAACCTGGTAAAATTAAGAAAGTAAATTGTAAAGGAAATAAAGGACTAAGACTGGGGCATAATGTGCATATATATCTGGTACATTGATATTATTGTTAAATCAAGCAAAAAATATATTAATGAGCTTTTTTTAATTGTTTTTAATATGCCAAGTTGAAGTTTGAAAAAAAGTATGGCTGAAACACATTTCACAGCCTATTCGTTGTACTTAACCACAGAATGGCCCATGATTTCTATCCACAGTCATGAGGTACATTTTGCCCCTCGCTGAATACTGATCCGCATAATAACCTAACTCCGAGCAGCCCCTGGCCCCGCACGTCATACACTCGCCATGAGTAAAATTTTCCTAAACATCAGATTCATCTTAATCTGCAGGTAAATCATAAAAAAAACTCATAGGAAAGGAGATTGCAAATGGTTGTAACCTACGTAATTGTCACATGGATAAGCTGTAAATGGACAATCCGTCAAAATGGACTCTGTGAAGTACACATGAGAACGACCATGGCTACAAGCAATAGCCTCTCCAATGGCTGAAAAAAGAGAAAGAAAGGAAAAAAGAAATTTAAACTTAGCATTAAAAGTGAAAAATCAATTTTTCCACGGAGAATGATTTAATGATTTAAAAGAAAAAAAAACATAAATAACTCAGACGAGTTGAAATTTTTTTCGCAACTTCGAGTTACATTTCAAAGACCGAAAAACTACAGCTAAGGAACTGGACAATCATTAAGGATTCCGCTAAAAATTCACTGTCTATATAAATGGTTATTCATTTAAAAAAAAAAATAGTTAAGTAAACGTGTACTTTAAAATATAAGAAATACCGGTAATTAATTAAAGTTTCTAACAGAACTCCTAGCATTTCACACCATTTTCCACTGTGATAAATGCAATTTATAGTGTGAAAGTTTTAACAATCGTAGCCCACAACTTCCCGCGAGCTCAGTATAACTCCTGACCACCTAGTCGTACCTCAAAATAAGAAATGAACAAGTTTGTTTTCTGGCCTGTGACAAAAATGATGAATGTAAAATTTGAGGACGATGATTGAAAGCAATATCATCGGAGAAAAAAAGAAATACTTCGTATATATGCACACATGTATGTCGGAAGGGTGGACAGAGCAGTGACTGCGTAGGATTGCCCCGAACTGTTTGAATTATATACCTGAAGTATTAAAGGTAAAAATTGTGCTGAATAGTCCACCAATTTGATTTGGACATCCGGTTTGCTTTTCACCTCCATTAACGAAGAAATCCACATGACCTGAAACTTGCATAAGACCGTAACCAAGCTTGCTGAATGGCGCACCATTTGTATGAATGACGTCAACAAAGTTGGCATCGTTAGGATCCAATCGAATTCCAGCAGAGAGATGTTCAAAGTCGGGTTCTGCAGGATCCATACCTTGTATGAAATCAAGAGGTTTATTTTCCGTGTTGAAACTCGATCCACGGGTTAGTGTCGATTCTATTTCCATAAATAGTTGCAGCCTGGTTGAAGTTAATTTGTAGAAGTAGAATGGACACTAACCTATAGCTTACAAGGATGACTGAATTACACGAAGAGGATATATTTATATACAAAGTTTCTAGATTACCCGTTATCCTGCCCACTCTGCCATGCAGAAGTCGTCCTGTGTAACCTGCTGTATGGGCGCCAAGACTGTGACCAATCAGATGCATGTCGCTCACTTTACCACCTGCTCTTACCAACATGTCAACGATAAGGCGAAGCTGAGTCCCCACCATTCGGGTATTAGACGCAGCCTGGTTGTAGTTAGGTGCTGTGGCTCCTCTTCCCCATGCCACGACAATAACATTAAAATCTCCCTGTCAGAGAAAATTTTGTAAAATATCAAACCTTCCAATGGAAACCTTTGGCAACTTTGAATAATACCTTGAATAAACGTTCTTAACTTTGATTTCAAATAGCTACATTTATCCCTTTTAATCAATCAAAAATATTATGCACTTACACATGTTGTACAATTTTATTCGTTTCATCTCAATTCCATTTCTATTCAATGAAAAACAACAGATAGAAAGAACGGCTCACCTTCTTGAGAAGAGCATCTTTCATTACGTACAGCCATTTTGTCTTGATGGAATTAGTGAATCCGTGAATTATAATTTTTGTTTTGAGGATACCTTTGTAAAATGAGTTTGTTACGGAGGACAGCGATGTGTAATTCAGATGCTGAGAGTTATTCCAGTTTCTTCTCGTGAAGAGTAAAAATTCTGTACCGATTTGTTCAGGAGATCGAGGCAAGTCTAAATCAGTATTATCGAACGGAGGGAAATTGTCAAAGCAACCAACATATGGAAAACATCTAGTTTTATTTGCATACGGGTTTGGCCTGTGAGTTGTTGAGTTTAAAGATGTAGGGGTGGTTGTCATGAGATCATGAGTTGTGTTTTTGCTGAGGGTGACATCTCCCGCTGTAAGTAAATGTAAATGGCATGTTGTTAAATGAGAAAACGTCAGTTAATTTTCTTAATTATATCGTAAAAAATAATGTAGTAATTATGTCCACTGTGTATTTTTTTTATCAGAAAGTATGTATGTGAGATACGGTGCCAGGGGTCATAAACTGGTATAGATATCGAGAAGTGTAACTGTTTCACTAGGTTACATTATCAAAACCTCGAGTTAATGCCTTCGGTCTCAAATAGGTTCTGTGATTTAGTCACATATCACACCTCCTTGTAAGATGGCCCTGGAAATACTTCAGTAACAGAGTGACAGTGGCAGAAGGCGAGTCTTCGGCGCCTCCAAAAAAACCTAACCAATGATTAGGAAAGGAAAGCCTCATCAGAAAACCACCGGTCCCTTGGATTTATGAGGTTATGAACAGGGTCAGTGAGCATCCCTGTCATGTAAAAATAGATACACTACAAAAAAACTTAATTAGAGAACAAGCTGCGGGTAGGAGGATATATGCATTACAGGAGGATGGTTGTCAGTCAAACCCAACAGGAAACTGTTAACTCGATAGCAGACATCCTCCATCCTAAATCAACACATTGAGTGGGCCGTTGGAATTTGCCAATCCACTATCAGAGTGGAAAAATTGTACAGGTGACAGTAACACTTAGCTAATTTGGAGTCAATTTCTCTGGAAATTCAAAAATCGAATGACCCTAAAATCAAAAGAACATTCCAATTAGAAATCTGGAACAGATTTACTTTTCTTATAGAAAATGATGACGTACAGATAGAATATTTGAATGAGGATCTCCTAAAGACAGACAAGAATTTGAACAAGAGGCCCATGGGCCACAACGCTCACCTGAGTAACTTTGGACTTGCTGTTTTTCATTTGATTTCCCCCCTTGTAGTACTTATTGTGGCCCCGCCCTACTCCCAGGGGTCATGATTTAAACAACTAGAATCTACACTACCCAAGGATGCTTCCACTTAAGTTTCAGCTTTTCTAGCCCAGTGGTTCTTGAGAAGAAGATTTTTAAAGATTTTCCTATATATTTTAATGTAAAAATTGGATTACCTATTGTAGCGCCGCCCTACCCCCAGAGGCCATGACTTGAACAATTTAGAATCTACACTACACTGGGATGCTTCCACGTGGTTCTTGAGAAGAAGATTTTTTAATAACCCCACCCCATTTTTGTCTTTCTTGATTATCTCCCCTTGTAAGGGGACTTGACCCTTCATTTTAACAATTTAAACTCCCCTTTACCCAAGGATGCTTTGTACTAAGATTGGTTAAAATTGGCCCAGTGGTTCTTGATAAGAAGTTGAATATGTGAAAAGTTTACAGACGGACGGACAGACAGACAGACGACGGACAACAGGTGATCAGAAAAACTCACTTGAGCTTTCAGCTCAGGTGAGCTAACAAAAAAGGATATAACAGAGGCAAAAGAAATGGAATTTGCATTAAGAAAATCTGATAGACTTAAAAAGAAAATAAAAGAAGAGAACAGACAGACAAAGAAGTCCAGAAATGTGCACGATCAGACAAAAGAGATTACATCGAGAAAAAAAAGCAAAAGAAGCAAAAACAGCCACTGCAAGACAAGATACAATTGGTTGGTGTATGTTGTTTAACGTCCCATTCCAGAATTTTTCACTCATATAGAGACGTCACCGTATGCCAGTGAAGGGCTTCAAATTAGACCTATACTCGGCACTCAGGGTCATTGAGCAGTGAGGGTTCTTTATCGTACCAACGCCTACCGTGACACGGGACCTCGATTTTTAAGGTCTTATCCGAGAGACCCGTGACTTTCATTTCTAGTGCCGGGCGCTTGGCAAAGGAACAGTCACACTACCTATCTTTACGTCTTATGTTTGACGCGGCGCGGCGAGAATCGAACCCGGACCTCCCGATCACGAAGCGAGCGCCCTACCACTAAAGTACCGTGACCGCTCACAAGACAAGATATGAGGACCAACTACAAGAACACTGGCAGGAAAATTTGAAACATAAAGTCTTTCAGTCAAAGACATACAAGCAAACCAAAGATGAGTACATTTGAAGTGCCAAAAGGAACACTTTTAATGAGTTCTCAACATAATGACCCAGAGTTGAAGACAAACGTTATACCAGCAGAAGACATTACCAAACAGCTGGGGACTACAAACACTATATGAAGCCAAAAAGCAATCAGTAACTTCAAAAATCGAAATGCCTCTGGATTGGATCAGATTAACACAGAACTACTTAAGGCAACGCGTTACATCTAACACCGGAGTTACTTACAAAGATATTGGAAAGATTGGACGTAAGAAGAGTGTCCATCATGTTGGCTGACTGAAATTACTGCAAAGCTACAAATAATAGTGATTTAATTGACTGCAACAAATGGAGGAGCATTTTGTAGTAATCTGTCACCAGCAAAGTTATGAGTAGAATATTGAACAGAATCTCGACCATACAAAATCCCATATTAAGGAAAGAGCAAGGGCTTAAAAAATTTAAAAAAAAATTAGGAAAAGCTCTGTTCTGGTCAACTTCTTAGTATTTACTTTAAACAAATCGCAGAGAAGAGCAACTAATGAAACTTCGCATTAATTGATTGATTGATTGTATGTTGTTTTACGTCCCATTCGAGAATTTTTCACTCATATAGAGACATCACCATATACTGGTAAAGGGCTTCAAATTTTGACCTTTACTCGGCACACAGGGCCATTGAGCAGTGAGGGATCTTTAGCGTGCCAACGCCTGCCGTGACATGGGGCCTCGGTTTTTAAGATCTCATCCGAAGGACCCGCAACTTTCACTTCAAAGTGCCGAGCGCATGGCGAAAGAACAGTTGCTAGCCATTTTTTATCGACTTAGGTCAGTCGCGGCCGAGATTCGAACTCACGACCTGCCGATCACGGAGTGAGCGCTCTACCGACTGAGCTACCGTAAACGGTAACTTCGCACTGAATGAAATGTGAAGATAACGAACAGTGATTATTAAAAAAAGTTCATTTAAACAATATGAATTATGAGCACAGCCAACGCGGAGCCTTGGAAACTGAAGTGTGATAGTTGCTATGGAAGACTAAGCATCTTCTCTCGACCGGTCAAACCTGCCGTGTGTTCCTTGTCATGATCGGTTAAAAGGAAAAACCCGACAATTCAGTTTGCAAATATTGGCCTAACAATTTTTATGAAAGACGTCAGTCAACAATCGACTTTACAGATCGTATTTGCAAACAAGGCCATTGTGTCGAACAGAGAATTTGCAGAATTCTGACTTTAAACGAGATTGTTGATATTCTTGTTTCATCAACTTAATTATCTGGCTCGTTTTATAAATTGATCGTACATAAAACATATGCTCTTGCGTAACGAACCAACTCGGAGACATAAAATCCATTTGCAGATGATAATGATTTATAGCTACATAAATAGGGGAATTTAGCGATAGAAAAGTTGAAGTCATCACGTTTATCATAAATTTGTTGTCAGTTTGCCATCAGTGTTTTTCTCTAAAAAACATCCAAATATAAAACAGATGTGTGGTGTCTCTTATTTCGTGTTCAAATGGATACTTGTATAGGGAATCAACGTAGGAATGAATCTGAATATTGTTAATTGATAAAACGTCGTCAATATATCTATATGTTGAATTGAAGGCCACAGCAAGAGAATTCTTCATTTCTGTAGCAGTTTTTGAATGAATTCTGCTTCATATGAATATTAAATAGGTCTGCTACTAGTATTAACAGGGTGCAGTTAGTATCAATTGGAATTTCAACAGATTGTTGGAAGACCTGATCTCTGTGACATTACTCAGGTGTTAGATAGTATCAACCGACCAGCTCTATGGAAGATCCTGAACCACTGTGGAATACCTAACAAGAGTGTCGCTATCATAGGGATGCCTTAAGTGGAATTTTCTGCCCAGGTCGACTGTGATATGTCTTTCAGAATTCTACATTCATATCGGTGTACAAACACAAAATGAGGTGTCAGTTGGACCCTGGTAAATATATTGGGATGCCTAGACTTTGCAAATGACCTTGTACTTGTGTCACATCACTAAAGGAAATAAGAATAAAACAAATGACCTAGTTGAAAAGTAAAGCCAAAGTGAGTTAATCATCAACAATAGAAGGGCCAAAGTCATGAAGATCAATACGAAAGCAGCAGAACCTATAACAATTGTAACACTATACAACATAGATATAGAGGAAGTGCAAGATCGAGTTCATCCTTCTGGAAAGCAAAATCACCGCAGACAAATAGACCTTCTGACCCGCATATAAAAACCGTGGGAGCTTTTGCATCACTGAGGAGCTCCTGGAAATCCTCTTAGGTAATCATCAACAAAATTAAGGATCTTCAAGAACAGCATTCTAGAGGTCCTTCTGTTTATTGTAAAGTCATGGAATAATCAACAGCAGAGATATCCTCCAAAGCAGATGTTTTCGAAGGATATTGCATATCTTATGGCCAAAGGTCTTCCGCAACAAACAACTCATCAATGTAGGAAGACAAACACCAAGCCACTGCCCCTGGAGATCAAGAGGAGGAGATGGGGAGGATAAGACCATGATTTAAGTATGTACCTAGATTTATTCATGGGGTAGTAATAAGGTGGACTCTAGCACGAAAGAGAAATAAAGGAAGATCTAGAGAAACGTGGTGATGATCCACCGAAAAAGAATTGAAAGAGAGAGGATGGACATTAAGACAGATCTTACATTGACCCTCAGTACAGGCAGCAGTGGAAGGCTCTGGTAATGGCTCTTGAACAAACCAGCACACAGAAGATCAAGAAATAAGTACTTTGTGTTGACAGTGCAGAAAACCTTCCTGCCTTCCTGGCAGTTGAAAGTGTTTTGGATTTAAACAAACGAATATCATACTGTTTAGGAGTCCAAAATAGTGACACGAAAAGTAATATTATAAGTAGTATCTATTTGATATGTAGCAAATACATTGAGATGTGAAATCCCTTGATCGTTTGTTAGTCTTCACACCGCTCTCAATCTTTTGTCGTACCGGGCCTCTGATCATCAATTGTATCAACAAAAACGAGGATGAATTCTCAAGATGGGCAATACATATCTCTCTTTTTTTTAAAGAATTATCTACCTAATTCATGATAGTTATTTGGTAAAACTTTATATGGTTTCGAAAAAAAGTTGCCAGCAAAACCATTTTAATGAATTAAGCGTTTTGTATCGTTTAAAGTTTGGTCTGCATTTTGAGTTCAACCCCCTTCTTTATAGTATTAAGAATGACCTTAGCCCTTGTGTTGGTGAGATGTCTTTTCGAACACCTTGTAAATTCAACTTTTCCTACACCTGGCTTGAAGGACTGTTTGTCCACAGCTTGATTGAATCAACGGTTGCAGATTTGTTACTGTACATTGTCTCTGTCTCTAGTACTTGGTATTCATTCATTGTTACTGGTTTTTACTCCGAATTGCGCATAACATCTTGATGTCTCTGTCACATGGGGTCACACATACTTGTTTTAATTGTAGGAAAGAATAATATGAATGGCAAGTCCATATTATCAATATAATTTTAAGTATTTTCCCCAGATGATGGTCGTTTAAATCTGGAGTGATTAGTTACCTACCGCAAATCTTGAAACACAACCCCGTAAGGATTATCCACAACGTGGCCATGCTTAACGCTGTTTGGCGGAGATAAGAAACGCACCAGGTTGCCCCCGGAAAGACAAACCAAAAAAAAAAATTGTTGACCAAAATCGAGGGAAGGCCGAGTCATATTTAGATTCAATTCAGTTCTAAAGTCCTTAGAATGCTATTGCGTCACTGAAGATCACTATGTAACCCAGCTGTTTAGATGAAATATTAAACGTATGTTTTCAGTCATTGTTTGCGAAACGATAAGATGTCTTTGAGATTTTCTTGCCGTTTTTGGTAAAAAAAAAACCAAAACCACAAGTATCGTCTCTTGCAGAACGAATATTTTTGACTGTTTTAATTCACTTCCTTTGGATAATTTACATGTTCAACAAACTATCAAATAGCTTTAGGTACTATCAATTTGATACGATCAAATGATACATTGCAACACTGAATGGCTGAATATATATAAGTACATGTATCTGAGACTTCTGAGACTGTATTTTTAGTCCTAGCCATACAAGGAATACTGTTGAAAAGAATATAATATAAGCTTTTAAACGGGTTTCGTACCTTGTCATAGATATAGTGTCTCAAGAAATAAATTTATTAATTTTTTTCAAATAACTAGCTATACAGTCCAACAAGTGCACTTTCACCCCATTTTTGACATAGCAAATGAAAGTTTTGAAGTAAATAAATGATTTCTCATTTCCAAACCATGTTTAGTCATATTAGATACATATACAATTGGTAAAAAACCAGTATGAGACGATTTTCTAAGTCTACACAATATTACGATATTGTTGTCAAGCACACCCTCGGTTGACAAAGGTTTTTTGGGGTAAAAATTATCAATGTTTCCCTCGACTACATGCAGTACCACAGCTTTTAAAGAAGCAGACCTTTATTGCATTTTTTCAGAGTTTGATCAACATTTTGTCTAACACGTAGACGTAGAGGATAGGTGCATGCTACTGACAGATACCCCGTCTGGTAGGTTAATTCCTCTCATACAGAAAGTGTACCTTTGAAATTAAAAAAAACATAATTCAGTGAATACACAGTACGTTTATATTCATACTTATTGACTAAATTATACTTATAAAACACATACACAATTTGAAATTCTCAAGATATCTCAACATCAATGGCGATATATTACGTTGTGTTCCAGAACTTTTACTATATTCCATGATTAAGTCACAGGGAGGAAACGTACCTATTTCTAGTCTGAATTTCCTCGACAGACACTGACGTTAATGTTATTTGGCTCTTCCCTCCCCTTCCAAACAGGAAGCCGATCTTCTTATGATAGAGTACATCTATCGATGTTATGTCTGTGAATCTACTTGCTAGAACAACAACCTGAGTGTGAGGCATCCCAGCTCTCAAGTGTGCTCCAGGACTATATTGTAACAGCATTAATATCAATTTACATTTTTGCAGTAAATTTGAAATATCACTATTACACTGTATGTGATTAACAGAATTATTCATTCGTTTAGACATTCAGATATAATCATTATAATTTATAAAAATGTCTTGCCCCATTTACTTTGTAATGGCAATTTGTTGTGTGTGTCCAGTTGCATCATGCATCGTGACCATTATCTGACCAATGGAATCCTCTGTTCCATAAACCGTTTTGATAAGATAATGGTAGCCTAAAATTAAAAAAAAAGATTTTATTTGCGTAATTCGTATTAGATAATATATTCTTAGTATATGTATGAAATTTTATGGCGCTTTTACTTAAGAATTTTTTGAAAAATGTTACAGTTTAAAAAGAACATGCAAAAGCAAATATACCACAGAATGGTGCGGTGGTTTTGATTTGAGTGTTGAGATACATTTTCCCGCGCCCTGTATTTTTCTCTGCGCTTAAACCAAGCTGAGAGCATCCACTGGAACCACAAGTCATACATCCGCCAGCAGTAAACTTCTCCTATGTTATACAAGTTCTGTTATTTCTAGTATTTGTTATGCTTCTTTTTCAAATGCATGTACAGCCTTTGTTCAGATATAACTTAAACTTACGTAGCTTTCACATGGGTATGCCGTAAAGGGACAGTTCGTTAATATGGATTCCGTAAAATATTCGTGAGCACGTCCATGACTGCAAGATGCAGCTAGAACAGCACCTACATAACACACAAAAACAGTATGTTCCAAAAATTGAAAAGGGCTCTGTGTATCTTGCCTAACTTTCTGCAACCATAATAAAAATACTAGCACAAAAGAGCAAAATAAAGTCCTTGTAATCTCATTTTCCCATATTTTTAAAAACTGCTGAGTAACACAACGAAGGATACATGTAAAAATAAAACTAGATGTCTCTTCCTTTTTCTAGACGTGACATTTACACTTAGAGAAGGAATCTACCTACTTACCAGAGACATTGTGATTGAAAAGTTGTTGAAAAGCCCCTGCTACCAAGTTTGGACATCCTGGTTGGGATTTTCCTCCATTTACATAGAAATCCACATGCCCTGAAACCTGCATTAACCCAGCCCCACCTCTTCTTATGGGTGCGCCATTTGTGTGAATGATGTCGACGAACTTTGCGTCAGTTGGATCCAGTCTGACACCAGCTGGGTGGTTTTCAAAATCTGGCTCAGCTGGATCAAGCCCTGAGGGTCATTATCAATATCTCATTATTTCATTACATCCTCATCTATCGAAATGTGCATGAAATAGTATCCGTTATGAACACTAAAAAGCCTTACCAGTGATTCTGCCAACTTTGCCGTGCAATTGCCTGCCAGCTGAGCCCGCAGTGTGAGCCCCTAAGCTGTGGCCTATGATGTGAATATCATCTAAACTGCCTCCTGCCTGAACCAGTTTCTTAATGATGAGCCTAGTTTGAGTTCCCACCATTCTGGTATTGGAGACTGCCTGGTTATAATGTGGTGGGACAGCTCCTTTACCCCATGCTACAATGATGATGTTGAAATCCCCCTACAAGTAAAATTGTTTGTGGTGTTTCATGTATTTTCGGCTTGGAAAACCATAGTGTGGGGGAAATATTTTTTCTCTTACTAATTCTACATTACCCACTGATGCATACCTCTAAGAAACAAATTTCCTTTAGGGACCCTCTACACAATGCAAACTAAAGAGTTCCAATCCCATGGTACTTTTTTGCAGTTAGAGTTATCTGCCTTCTAATTTAAAATTGAAATCTACAATGTATTACACGGTTGATAGTCAATTCGAGTATTCTTAACATTGTAATATTAATTGGACTATGATGAAGTTATTGAAGTAGCATTTTCCCCATATAAATAAACAACTGTGATTTCTATTCTTCAGTACTTTCTTGTCTCTGAACATTTTTTTCTTGGGGCAGAATTGCAGGTGCCATAGTTGAAAATAAAATATATCAACTCAATATTTTCATTCGATATAATTTTCTCGAAGTCCAGAAACATGAAATCATACTTGTATAGAGAATCCTTAATGGTTTATATCGTTCAACAACTAACGCTCATCCATGTTTAATGATAAACGTTTTGCCAGAAGTCTTTTCAGAAATCTTTTTTTTTTTTTTAATTTTGAAATCGTTGGGCTGTACTCACCTTTGTAAGAAAAGCATCTTTCATAGCATATAACCATACGGTTTTAACTGAATTAGCAAATCCATGGATTATGAACTTCGTCTTCTGAGTGCTCATGTAATGAGAATTATGCACAGAGGTCTGGGATACATAGTCCAGTGTATCTGCATTGTTTTTATTTCTTCGAGTAAATAGCAAAAACTGTGTCCCTATCTGATTTGGAGATAGTGGCAAGTCAAAGGCAGCGTTGTCAAATGGAGGGAGGTTGTTGAAACAGCCGACATGATCATAGCACACTGTTTTATTCGCAAGTGGATTTACTGTGGTAGTGGTCGTTGTTGACTGGACACCAACTTTAAAGTAAATTTTAGCAACGTTTCAATATCTTAATGAAATCACAGCGTGTTTTTGAAGGCAGATAATCTTTGGTCACAATGTTTTTGCAATTATGTCTACTGTAATTTTGAAATGACTGAAAAAGATGTATTTTCTCCTTATTAAGATAATGAAATGAAATTGTTCGCATAAATTTTATGTGACGTTTTGAACATTTATCGGTATTCAATTAAGGTACCTCTTACCTACAAAAGTCAACGCTATTACTGCCTGTGACAGCATTGTGTCATTTGTGTCTTATCAGTAGGACAGTCACCTTAACCAAACCTTCATGAAATCCAAAAAACCTATGATATTGAGTACTAACTCTGTACACTATTCTTTCTGAACCAATTTCCCCCACGATTGCGTTGTTTCAGTTCCTGCCTTTCTGATTGATTGATTGATTGTATGTTGTTTTACGTCCCATTCGAGAATTTTTCACTCATATAGAGACATCACCATATACCGGTGAAGGGCTTCAAATTATGACCTTTACTCGGCACTCAGGGCCATTGAGCAGTGAGGGATCTTTATCGTGCCAACGCCTGCCGTGACACGGGGCCTCGGTTTTTAAGGTCTCATCCGAAGGACCCGCAACTTTCACTTCAAAGTGCCGAGCGCATGGCGAAAGAACAGTTGCTACCTATTTTTATCGACTTAGGTCTGTCGCGGCCGAGATTCGAACTCACGACCTTCCGATCACGGAGCGAGCGCTTCCTGCCTTTCTGGTGTTTGAGATAGCTTGGTTAAAATCTGGCACGATCGCTCCTTTTCCTCGCCTTTAATGATGACGTTATAGATATTAAAAAAAAGTTAGTATTTTTGTTAGGGATGTCAATTTCATTTGGATACCCTAGTTGAATAGCTGGGGGCTTTAGTCAAATGATAATCAAATACTCGCTAAAATGATTTTTTCTTATGTTTTTTCTTATCTTTTATATGCTCTTAAGACTGCTTCTATACTCAAGACTTAAATCAAACCATTGGCACATACAACCTAATATAGGGGTGTAGCGATACAGCTTTATCGTGATACACTGGAATTGTTTTTGTTATTTTTATGCCCCCGTATCGAAGATTCGGGGGTATATAGTTTTTGCCCTGTCCATCCGTCCGTCTGTCTGTCTGTTTGTCCGCAAAAACTTTAACATTGCTCATAACTTTTGAATGGTTGAAGCTTTGGCTTTCATATTTCACATGTGTATTCCTTGTGACAAGACCTTTCTTTGGGTACCATCATATTTGACCTTTTGACCTTTACCTTGAAGTTTGACCCAGTTTTACAAAATTTTCCCCAACTTTAACCTTGGCCATAACTTTTGAACGGTTGATGCTAGGGCGTTAATACTTCACATGTGTAATTCTTGTGACAAGACCTTCTTTTGGATACCAACAACTTTGACCCTTTGACCTTGACCTTGGAGTTTGACCTACTTTTGAAAAACTTTAACATTGGCTATAACTTTTGAACGGTTGACTCTAGGGCTCTCATATTTCACGTGTGTAATCCTTGTGACAAGACCTTTCTTTGGATACCAACAACTTTGACCCTTTTACAAGTATATTTCTCGGTACAAGACCTTACTTTGGGTACCAACATATTTGATTTGCATTTGAGAAAATTTAACCTGCGCTATAAGTTGCCATACGGGGGCTTCAGTGTTTCACAAACACATCTTGTTTTTTTGGGGGAGGGGGTGTTTTGGTATAGCGACACGGTTCATTTTCTGGTACAGCGACGTTGTACATTTTACTGTAGTAAAAAAGTCCAGAATAGCTGGATTGAGTCCATTTTCCATGTAAAAGGCAGAAATTTCGTCCTTATGTTACTTGGAGATCCTGGCAGCGTTGTCAAAAGGGGGAAGGTTGTTCAAACACTCGACATAGTCGTAATATCCCAGATTATTTCAATACATTTTATGATTGATTGATTAATTGTTTTACGTCCCGTTCGAGAAAATTATCACTCATATAGAGACGTCACCATATACCGGTGAAGGGCTTCAAATTTAGACCTTTACTCGGCCCTCGGGGCCGTTGAGCAGTGAGGGTTCTTTATCGTGCCAACGCCTACCGTGACACCGGGCCTCGGTTTCTAAGGTCCTGCAACTTTCACTTTAAAGTGCCGAGCGCTTGGCGAAGGAACAGTTGCTACCTATTTTTTATCGACTTAGGTCAGTCGCGGCCGTGATTCGAACACACGACCTTCCGATCACGGAGCGAGCGCTCTACCGACTGAGCTACCGTGACATGTATTTTATGTTGAAGTGACTTTTGTTGCAGCTTTGATTGAAATCATTCAGAATACATGTAATTCAGTGAAATTCAAAACGAGTTACATACTCTTAAAGATAGAAGCTATATCAGTTTATTTATAGTTTTAGTTTGCTTTTAATAAGTAAGCAACACTTCAGAAAAAACTCTTGACTGGATCAAAGTAGTACAATCATCTATATTTATCTTTTGGTTAACTCCTTGAAAAGAAACGTTTATAAATACTAGAAGCAACAAAAGGCCCATGAGCCACCTCGCTTACCTGAGGACTTTGGCTAGAGAAAAGCAGAAATCAGTATTGAAAACTTGAAATATATAAGTGTTCTCCCTACCTCCACCTCCCCCGGAGGGGCAGGTAAGGGGGGCAGGTTTTAACAATCTTTAATCTATACTACCTGAGGATGCTTCCATATAAACATGGCTGGTATTGCCGTTCTTGAGAAGATTTTTTTTCTGTGTATTTTTATGTATAACTTTGATCGCCCATTGTGGTCCCACGCTATCTAAGGGGTCATGATTTGAACAAACTTGAATCTTCTCTACCTGAGAATGCTTCCATATAAATATGACTAATCATGGTTTTCCTGTTCTTGAGAAGATTTTTAGACTCTTCCTATACATTCCTATGTAAAACTTTAATTGCACATTGTGGCCCTGCCCTACCCCCAGGGTTCATGACCTGATAAACTTGAATATACACTAGCTGAGGATGCTGCCATATAAATATGACTAATCGTAGCTTTGCTGTTCTTCTTTAGAAAATTTTAAAGATTTTTCCAATATATTTCCACGTAAAACTTTGATCGCCCATTTAGGCCCCTCCCAACCCCCAGGTGTCAGGACTGGCGAAGGAAATATGTACATGTATACTTTCATATATCACTCCATGTCAACACTCTCTGAAGTCCAGTCTTCCATCTAGTTCAATTTCCTTGGCTTTCCATCTTCACTGCCTAGATGAATCTTGCCTTTTCTTCCTGTTGCCGTATGTCCTGCTAGACTAGTTTCCTTCCAATGTCTGGCCAATACTCCTGCCCATCTTGTTCTTCATTCAGGATCTTGTCTCCCTTTACAGATGATTCCCACAATGTCTTTATGGCGAAATCTTAATTCTGCTTCTGACACTGCATCATTTACTTTCTACTGGTGTCCTGATCATATAGGCTCCAGCTTTTACTTTTGTATCATTGGAGTCCATGAGGGTCATTTTGAGATGAGCCTTCTGTTTTGAATTTGTCCACCACTGATGTTAGAGGTAAACGCAACTTGATGGTCATGCTGTGAAATCCAACTGAGTAAAGCTTTGTTGTACTCCTAATATCGGTTCACTTTCCTCTTAGTGTCTGCATTTGTTATGCCGATGTCATAAAGCATGAGTGGCCAAATCAGTCTGGGTCGATCCACACCTTAAATTTCACAAGCAAGCCTGTCTTGTCGATTCACTCATTCCATCTTTCATTCCATCTTTATTTCCTCTTTTCAGAGATTTTACAACACTTATAATTTACATGTTATATCATGTTATGTTAGGAACATGAAATTGTAAATTGACAAAAAAAAAAAAAAAAAAAAAAAAAAAAAAAAGGAAAGATGTACATACAAACGTATTTACAAGAAGATCAGTAGTATACTGAATAAAAAAATGTTCGAGTGGAAGCCCAGCTAAAAAGGCAGAGGCTTCGCAGATAAACTTTGCACAACAACAAATAAATTCTTCTTGATCATATTTGTCTTTCGACGTTAACGTTGGAAGGTCACCTAATGATGATAAATACAAGTCATAATCACACATGTGAGTTAATTCTACACATAAATGAACATCAAATTTGTTCACTAAGCAATCAAAAAATGAGTTTCTGATATGCTCTGTGGCGGAGCATGCTGGAAGGGATCCCTGCATATTTTTTTCACAGGGAGAACCTGTTTGTTGGCATAACTGAGGCGTTACAGTCCATAATTTTGAGACAAATTTTATCAGTCTGATTTCATCAAAAGAAAAGTTGAATTTGTATATCCTTGTTGGAGTTATGCTTCGATGTAAATCTTGAAACAATACGAAGTCTCTGTCCATTTCGGTTCTGGCTGTCCAGGATAAGTTTCGATAGTGATGGATTGATTGGCGCACGATGTTTTTCCAGTCATATTTTTCAGGAAACCTTGCTTCATTTAGAAATATCTGTAGATAAATTAAAAGATTGTATTTCAACAAATTTTGCCAAATGTCTCGCACAAAGCCAGTGACCTGTTTTCCTTTATTTGTTATAAAGTCATATAATCTGAACAAGAAAATATGTTTTGATAATACGTCCAATTTAAGATTACACAGTTATCCAAAAAATAAGAGTTTGAGTTTATCAATTTCTGCAGATATGGGATAGATTCCAAGCATGCTTTCACACATATCAGAACGGGTGTTAGTTCTAGAGTTTTTAATGTCTTTTACAGCAAAGTGTTGAAATTGGTTCAATAGTTGTAGATCTGCTGATTTAAATTGTTCCAAAGTTCACATCCGTATAACAAAGCTGGAAGTACTACTTTTCTTGTAAAGGCTGGCAAGAGTTAGTGGGTTTGAGTTGTTTGACAGATCACTTCGAATAGCAAAATATGATTTTCTACCCTTGTTACAGCTTGCTAATGTCCTCTCTATAGATTTAAATCGAGTTTGTTGAGTAATTCCGAAGTGCTTGTAATTGTCATCCAAGGGAATAATTTCATTTCCTAATAACCAGGCTTTCTGTGCTGTGGAGATCTGTTTACCAAATATGACGATACTGGATTTTTGAGCATTAAAAGCCTTAAATTTCACAAGCAAGCCTGTCTTGTCGATGTTAACCATCCTCTCTGTTGTCTCCTATTCTAGCCGTCTGCGATTGTTGACGTCCTTCAATGTATCGTCCAACAATTTTCCTAGGCATTTGATTTGGTTGTCAATAATCGATGATATCTGTTTATCTTAAAGGGGGAGTTTCGATAAGGCCGTTTTTCGGCCCCTCACGAAAATTTAT